AAGATTAAAATACAACATTAAAATATTGAAACATTAAAATATTAAAATGCAGCCTCATCACAGGAGGAGAAAGGAAAAAGAAAAAAGAAAGAGGGGAAGGGAATCAAATTGATTCCAAGCCAATGGCCAGGCGGAACAGCTCTGTCTTACAGGCCCTGCGGAAAGAAATCAGATCCTGCAGGGCCCTGGTCTCATGAGGCAGAGCGTTCCACCAGGCCGGAGCCACAGTTGAAAAGGCCCTGGCTCTGGTTGAAGCCAATCTAACTTCCTTAGGGCCTGGGACCACTAGGGTGTTGTTATTTATGGACCTTGAGGCTCTGCATGGGGCAGACTGGGAGAGGCGGTCCCGTAGGTACGAGGGTCCTAGGCCGTGAAGGGCTTTAAAGGTCAAAACCAGCACCTTAAATCTGACCCTGTACTCCACCGGGAGTCAGTGCAGCTGGAAAAGCACTGGGTGAATATGCTCCCATGGCAGAGACCCCGTGAGGAGCCTCGCTGCAGCATTCTGCACCCACTGGAGTTTCTGGGAGAGCCAGTGTGGCGTAGTGGTTAAGAGCGGTAGTCTCATAATCTGGTGAACCGGGTTCGATTCCCCGCTCCTCCACATGCAGCTGCTGGGTGACCTTGGGCTAGACACACTTCTTTGAAGTCTCTCAGCCCCACTCACCTCACAGAGTGTTTGTTGTGGGGGGAGGAAGGGAAAGGAGAAGGTTAGCCGCTTTGAGACTCTTTAAAGGGAGTGAAAGGCGGGATATCAAATCCAAACTCTTCTTCTTCTTCTTCAAGGGCAGCCCCGCAAAGAGCAAATTACAGTAGTCAAGCCTGGAGGTGACCGTCGCATGGATCACTGAGGCCAGGTCAGGGTGGGAAAGGTAAAAGCTTTTAATTAAAAGCTTACCTAAACAGGGCTGCCTTCAGATGTCTGCTAAAAGTCTGGTAGTTGTTTTTCTTTTTGACATCTGGTGGGAGGGCGTTCCACAGGGTGGGTGACACTACCGAGAAGGCCCTCTGCCTGGTTCCCTGTAGCTTGGCTTCTCGCAGTGAGGGAACTGCCAGAAGGCCCTCAGAGCTGGACCTCAGAACAATGGGGGTGGAGGCGCTCCTTCAGGTATACTGGACTGAGGCTGTTTAGGGCTTTAAAGCTCAGCACCAACACTTTGAATTGTGCTTGGAAACGTACTGGGAGCCAATGTAGGTGTTATATGGTCTTGACGGCCGCTCCCAGTCACCAGTCTAGCTGCCACATTTTGGATTAGTTGTAGTTTCCTGGTCACCTTCAAAGGTAGCCCCACATAGAGCGCATTGCAGTAGTCCAAGCGAGAGATAACTAGATATTGTTGCAGTACCATTCCCATGCAGGGAAATGCATGCAAGGACAGGCTCCAGGCAGATTGAGCAGACGAGACCAAGACTGGGTCCAACAGGCAAGAAGGTGGTTTCTGTAGAGGGAAGTGAGGGGGCAGATGGGGCTCGTTCACCTGGGAAGGTAGCCCATCTAGGAGAAGGAAAACTCTGGCCCTAAACCTCTTCTGTCTTGCAGCTACAGTGGAACCTTGGTTCTCGAACAGCTTAGTTGACGAGCATATTGGCTCCCGAATGTCGAAAACCCAGAAGTAAGTGTTCTGGTTTTCTAACATTTTTTGGAAGCTGAACATCTGCTGCGGCTCTCGGCTATTGTTTCCAAGGCGCCTGTGCCAATCAGAAGCCATGCATTGGTTTTCAAATGTTTTGGGAGTTGAACAGATTTCCAGAATGGATTAAGTTTGAGAAAACAAGGTTCCACTGTATATTCGTTTGTGAGAAAGGCTTTGGAAGTAAGCTCTGAGGGAAAATCCATACCTGCTGCCTTGTGGGACGTCTTCGGGAGAAGAAAAGTCTAAGGAGTAAACCCTAGAGAAATCCATAGGGGGGTCCCTAAAATGGTCGGATGGCGTCTTGTGTGCTTCCTTCTGGCACCTGCTGCAGCCAAGCTGGTGCCAAACGTATTGCTCTGCTTTCCTTTGGACCAGGGACACGGGTGGCGCTGTGGGTTAAACCACAGAGCCTAGGGCTTGCCGATCAGAAGGTCGGCGGTTTGAATCCTCATGACGAGGTGGGCTCCCATTGCTCGGTCCCTGCTCCCGCCAACCTAGCAGTTCGAAAGCACGTAAAATTGCAAGTAGATAAATAGGTACCGCTCCGCCGGGAAGGTAAACGGTGTTTCCGTGCGCTGCTCTGGTTCGCCAGAAGCAGCTTAGTCATGCTGGCCACATGACCCAGAAGCTGTACGCCGGCTCCCTCGGCCAATAAAGTGAGATGAGCGCCGCAACCCCAGAGTCAGCCACGACTGGACCTAATGGTCAGGGGCCCCTTTACCTTTACCTTCCTTTGGACCCCATCAGGAATGCCAAAGGGGGTGGTCTTGTTGTCTGAGCAGTCCAGGACCTCCAGACACACTGCCCTGGAGAGGTCCCCTTTGCACTGCTACTGCAGCAAAAACAACACAGGAGGCAGCAGTCATGATTTATCACTCTCTGCAGCCACAACAGGTGCTGTGATTCTCTAATTCTTTGACTTCACCCCTGGAGGTGCACTCCATTGTCTCTCAAGACATACGGATGCCAACAACCACTGCTTCCATCAACCCTGGCCATTGCTTATGCCAGCTGGGGCCAATAGGAGTCGAGAGTTGATTAACATCTGTAAGGTACTACATTGGCTTGAAGAGAAGGGGGATTTGGAAATAGGGTTAAATTGGAAGTTGTTATTGTTGGGCCGAGTTGCTGTGGTGGGGACGAGGGTTGCTGTGATGTCAGGGATGTTGCTTTTGTTTCAAACATGGCAAGCTTTGGATGGGAGGGATTGTCTCAGGAGGTGGCAGAGGGACGTCTCTAGATTTGGTTGGCAGGGCAGGAAGCCTCGAGTAAAATTTAAGATATTAACGGATGCTAAAGAAGGAGGTGGACTTGCCCTGCCAGACCCCTAAATTTTGTTGTGAATCATCTGCTTTTTGCTGCCTGAGAGAGTCGGCAGAATCCAAGACCAGGGAGAAGAGCTGGTGGAAGAAGACTGGAAGTTTAAAGACTATTTATAGAAATATTGCAAAATTAATGAATGTTAGAACAAAGTTGGAATGAAGTTATATGGCTTTAGCAGAAATGTTGTAAGGAATTAAGTATAAATAGATTAATAGAGCATTAAAGGGAACAAAATAAGGTTAGAATGTGTTAAGATAATTATAGGATAGAAAACAGAGGAAGATGGAAAGGAATTGCTGAAATAATTAATTGATGTGGAATACAAAAAGGGAGGTGTGAGGAAGTCGTGCAAATAAGCAAACGAAAGATATGACATTGAAATTGTTTAATGTGCTTTAAATGGTCTTCGTTTTGTTTTATTTGTCTTATGTGTTAGTGTTTTGTAGTGTTTTTGTATTGTATTGTGTTGTTTTTCATTTGTTTTTTCTTTTTTCTTTTTTGTTTGTAGTGTTTAAATTTTTGGAAACTCAATAAATATTATTTTTTTTAAAAAAATACATTGGCTACCCCATGTTTATTTGAAGAATTTAGAACACGCACATCTCTTTCTGCCTGCGTCTCAAAGCAGCTTATGAAAAATTAAATCCCACCCAGAATGTATGAAATTCAAAACACAGACTAAAACATCAGAAAATAAAAAGAGCAGAGCAGCATTCAGTGGTTTCAAGGCATCCTGAAATAAAATGGCCTTGGTCTGACACTCGAAACTTTGCGGGGACACTGGTTGCCTTGTTTCTGCTTTACAAGAAATAATGGGTAAGGCTGACCTACCTATGCACACTTACCTGGAAATAAGAGCCATTGAAGATAGTAGGAATTGCTTCTGAAGGTGAGGAGCATGAGGAGTTTTTTAATAATTATGTGAAGGGAAAAGATTGAGTAGAGATTAATTTCCGCTCATAATACCAGAATGCAGCATCGCCCAGTAAAATTGTCTGGCAGCATGACTCAGGACAAAAGAAATTATTTATCCTCCTTATGCATAATTCACTTACAGAAGGGATGCGGAACCTCCAGCCCTCCAGTTCTTCGACCGCACCTCCTCTCAGTTCTGTCCAACAAGGATGATGGGGATTTGTTTATTTTTATACACACACACACACACACACACACCCGTATATAAAATCAAAGCAGCTTACACAAATAAAAATGTACAATACTCTAAATTTTAAACATAATCTGGCTGGACTACAGGTTTCCCACCCTTGTCTTATCATATCCATTGCAACAAGTTCCATGGTATGGGGGCTATTAGCAATGATAGGTAAATGGAACCTCCATGTCCATAAGCAGTGTACCTCGTGAGTGCTGGTTGCTCTGGATGTTGTTGGGCTCCAACTCCTATCGGTCCTAGACAGTATGGTCAGAAGTAATGGGGGTTGTAGTCCACTGGATGGTCACAGGTCGCCCAAGCCTACTTTAGGCTTTACTTTTGGGTTTCCCATAACATCTGTGTAGCTACTGTTGAAAACAGGATATTAAACAAGGTGGGTGGGAACATGTGGCCCTCACAATATTTTTTAATTTTTTAAATTTTACTGAATTTATATGCCGCCCTATACCCACAGGTCTCAGGGCCACTTCCATCATCCGTGATCAGTGGCTGTACCAAAAACATCACGGTGTCCAACAAAATCTGGATACAGTGGTACCTCGGGTTACATACGCTTCAGGTTACAGACTCCACTAACCCAGAAATAGTGCTTCAGGTTAAGAACTTTGCTTCAGGATGAGAACAGAAATTGTGCTCCGGCGGCGTGGCAGCAGCAGGAGGCCCCATTAGCTAAAGTGGTGCTTCAGGTTAAGAACAGTTTCAGGTTAAGAACAGACCCCCGGAACAAATTAAGTACTTAACCCGAGGTACCACTGTAGTCACATCCTTTCCCCACTCCTGGACTAGGTAGACTTTAAGTCTCGTCTTGTGGGACTCTTTTCTTATGTGTTTAGGGACACTGGTAGGTGGAAACAAAATTTAAAAAATTTCTTCCAGTAGCACCTTAGAGACCAACTAAGTTTGTTATTGGTATGAGCTTTCGTGTCCATGCACAAACAAACTTAGTTGGTCTCTAAGGTGCTACTGGAAGGATTTTGTTTGTTTGTTTCGACTACGGCAGACCAACATGGCTCCCTACCTGTAACTGGTAGGCGGATGAGAGAGAGACAATTTGTGAGTCAGTGGCAGACACACATACTGGACCTGGGCACACATTCGGTTACAGATGGGCACAGATGGCCCACACCATTTTGGTGCCCAAGACAGAAATGTCTAGATGGCAGCTATCCCACCCCAGATGGTGTAAACTAAATAATAAACCATTTCCTGCTCTGATGTTGCATCTCCAGAAGACTAGCAGCGGTTTTTTAAATTACTTGCTCCTTTTAACTGCAGACTGAAACTGGTGCCATCCTACAAGCAAAGCACAAAGTAGATTCCTGCCTTGCAGGGGATTGGACGCTCGAGGTCCCTGCCAGCTCTACAGTTCTATGATTCGCTGAGCCATGATTCATGCTCCCATGGAGCTATCCCATACTGAATGATCCTACAATCCCTTTCAGTCTTAAGGGAGGGAGGAAGGGAAGGAGCCAATGCAGAACAATGAGCAGAGCATGTGGACTGCAGAGTGCAAATGGGTCCCAATGTCCTCCCCGTAGCTGAAAGTCACTCTTTGTCAGCAAAGATGTGAAAGTCACCCAGAGACTGCAGTGGCAGGAGAAAAGACCATTTTGGTTTTTGGGCACAGGAAAGAGGAACATGGGTCACTTGCACACACGCACACCCGAAGAACAACGTGGCCTGGGGAAAGCCAACTCCGCTAGAGAAAGAACATCTGCAGGGAGTTTGTTTTATCCTTCCCCTTTTTTGATACAATCCTGAGTTTGCAATGAGAGGGAGTGATTTGCTGGTAGCACCATAATATCTGCTGAAGCCCTCAGAGATCAACGGGCAGGTATAGCAACCGCCTGTCAGGCTCTAAGTAGATTTAAAAGGCACAGGAGAAGGCAGGCCTTAGTGGAACTAACAAGCCCAAGGAACAGGGATGCTGCGTGAAGATGTGCTGCCAAGTCTTGACCACAGCCATGAGTGTAACCAGATTCACACCATCCACATGTCCAGCAGGTGGTAGCAACGTAACCCACAAGGCCACAAAGCAAACAACACACTGAAAACAAAGACCTCACAGGATTTCTCGTAATATATGCCCCTCTGGAAGTTTTGCACAAATCCAGAAATTTACTGAATAAGTTAAATAATAAGCCCTACTCTTTCAGCAATAAGAACTAGATGGTACAACTGTAAGCATGAGAGAGATCATTCAGGCATTCTCAACGGCTAGCAAATTAAGCACAAAAAATTAGAGGAGTCTGGGGCAAGGGGAGAGCGCAAAGATAAGCTCTGAGTGCCCCTGTTTACTGTTGACGGTGCAGAGGACAGCAGCAATCAAGGCATGCCATGTCATTTGTTTTTTATTTGAAGGAGCTAGAAACAAAAGACCATCTGACTAGTACCAAATGAGGGTTTCACAATGCATCCTGGGTAAACTCATTACACAAGGGATCCTGACACATGCAAATCCTCCCACCACAGGGACATAAGAAGCTGCCTTGTACCAGGTCAGACTACTCATTCCTTTTGGTCCACGCCACTGTCTACCACAAGTGGTAGTGGTTCTCCAGGATCTGAAACACAGGACTTTCCTGTCCCTTGCCCCATCTAATCATTTCAGTTGGAGATGCCCAAAATTCAGCCTGGGACCTTCGGCATGCCTTTGCACCGAGCTCTAGTTCCTCTATCTTTCTTGTCATCCGTTCTTTTTGTCTTCTTAGTTCAGTGAATCTCTGCCTGGAGGCTGGCGGATGGGGCCTTTTGGAAGATGATGAGGTCCAGTCATCAGGAGAGCTGGCTGAAGGCAGGCTGCTCACATGACTGAGGACAGAGACCTGGATTTGACCGATGAAGTAACATCAGGAGAGACAACTCCATTCGGGGGAAAGGCAGATCCTATTGAACAGCAACCAGTCAGAAATCCCATGGATAGTTTCGTCTGCTTGCAGGAAACTACCAGTTTTGAAGCTGTCGCAGACAGAGGTCAAAATAGAGAGAGGGGAGTCAGCAAGTTGTGAAACCAAGAGGAAGTTGGTGGCTGGTGGGCCCATTTGCACACTCCCTCTCTTGATTTCTCATCCCTTTAGAACTCTCAGTCAAAACAGGAAAGCTATCTCCATAGAACAGTACCATGCTTCATGTTGAATGATATGAATGCTTGATCTGCGATGTGCAGGCAACATGTGGCAAATAGGCCTGCTGGAAGTGGCCCCAAAGGAGTCAGATGGCAATAATGGTGTAGGTGGTTAGACTCCTTCACACTCGAGGTGCCACCCAGCTTTGTAATTCCAAGTCGTCCTCCCTGAGAACTGGTTTTCTCCCACTTTGGGGGGGCCTGCCCTGAAGATGTCAAGAGAGTTAACTGGCACCCAACGAGGAGGGCCTGGAGTCCCAACAAGCCTGGTTTCTCCTGCAGATGCAGAGCTGAGGAAGCAACACTTCCAAGGTCCATTTGGGTGGCCTGTGCCTTCCAGCCTCAGCTTGGACACCTCCTCTTCCAATCCATGCAAGCAACTGCAATCCAAAAATGTTCTGCTCTTGTCCAACGCTCACCCGTCCTCCGCAAGAAGTCACTGCTCAGCTGCAAGGCAACTGGAGGGTTGCGTGGTGACGGGATAGAGCAGGGACATGTGCTCTGCTCCCTGGATGGGCAGCTTGTGGCTGGCGTAGTGGTGGATGATCTCAGGTACGTTGTCAAACGGAGGGCTGTGCTGGCCCAGGACAAACTTGTGGTCTTCAGTCTGCAAGAGCTTCATGTGAAGGAAGCCTTGGCTGCTCCTAGGGGAAGGAATGGTAGGTGGGTGGGTCAGCAGTGGGTTGGATCAGAGGTCCTGGGCCTCTTTCTCTTTCAGCCCTCTTTTCCCTGCTGGGTAGCCCTCTCTCAGCTGGTTAAATCCTCCCCTCTCCCTGAAATTCCAGTGCTGATTGACCCCCATGTATTGAGCTTTCTCCTAAGCTTAAAAGCGGCATGGGATAGGGAATTTCCATCAAAATCCTCTTGTGTAGCTTGGTGGGGAAAAGGGGATTGGATCTTTATCTGGAGCTCCATCCCTTCTTCCTGCTGCTCAGTGGGAGAGTATAACGTGAGCCCTGAAATAGTAAGCAGTGGGAAGGAAGCAGACCAGAGGTGCAGATTGCATACTTCTGTAAAGGAGGCAAGTTTCTTAGAGACTATGCATCCTGACCAGAAAATGTGCATATTGCCTAGAAAATGTACAAAAGACAGTTGATATATATGCACATTCCCCAAGGCTTGTTGGAGATTATGCATACCCAAAGAGCGTACAAAATTCATCCACAATATGTACGTTTACCCAGGGGTCAGCAAACTTTTTCAGCAGGGGGATGGTCCACTGTCCCTCAGACCTTGTGGGGGGCTGGACTATATTTTGAAGGGAAAAAATGAACAAATTCCTATGCCCCACAAATAACCCAGAGATGCATTTTAAATAAAAGCACACATTCTACTCATGTAAAAACACCAGGCAGGCCCCACAAATAACCCAGAGATGCATTTTAAATAAAAGGGCACTTTCTACTCATGTAAAAACACGCTGATTCCCGGACCATCCATGGGCCAGATTTAGAAGGCAATTGGGCCAGATCCAGTCCTGGGCCTTAGTTTGCCTGCCCATGCGTTTACCCATGCCAGTTTGAGAGTATGTATATTGACCGAAAAATGTGCACATTCCCCTCTTCATGGATGGTTTATGTGCAGATTCTCCATGAGGTCTGGTGAAGTTCCAATGCATATTAACCACTCAAATTACACTCCCCTTCCACTTACTATTATTTCCGGATGGTCTCCCATCCACCTACCAACCAGACCGAGACCTGCTTAGCTTTAGCAAGTTCCAGATTGCAACCTTTTTGTTGCACGGCCCATTTACTTCATCCTAATGCTCCCTGAGCCCCTGCCAGGCTTTCCCAACGAAACTCCGTGAACTACTTTAGTCAGCTCAGAACAGTACAATGCATACAGAATCCTCAATGCTCGCTCACTCACTTCAGGGAGAGGGAAAAGGCATCATGGCTGCTCTCACTGTTCCGCACCAGGTAACTGGCCTCTCTGCAAAGTCGCAGTAGCCCCTCGGCACCCACTCGGCTCAAGGTCCCATGATACCACCTGTGGAGGAGAAAGGAAGTCATCCACTCATACCCCTATAGAGAGGTCCTTCAGGAACCTTCGGCTGGAGACGTGAGATACTAAACTAATTTTAAAATAAACTAAATAATAATCGTTTGTGGTCCACATGCGCCTACATACCAAGGCATGGATTTCTCCACAAGGAGCCATATAAATAGAAGACACCTGAAGGTTTTCAGCCTGGATTGGGTACCACCGTTGTCACTTCAGAAAGATTCAAAGGGAGGCTCCAGAATGAAACTCATGATCTCCAATGCACAACTAAAATTGATGGAGTGGGCTTAGGACTCAGTTGGAACAAAGGTTCTCTCCCCCAGCTGTAGATGTTAAAATAGCACAGCAAAGCTAAGACGGGTGTGCAAATCACCCGTTGTTGCTGTTGTGTATGGCTATTGTTCTTCTATTGTATGGGTGGGGAGAACCTTTACTGGCCTTATCTCTCCACCCATGCTGAGCCAAATGTGGCAGGTGGGAGGCCCCCTGTCCACTTGCCAATCCCCTGATGTCACTATGATGTCAAGCGATGCTGCACTTTGAAGCTCCGGTGTCGAGACTTCAAAGCACAGCACAGGAACACCCAGGAGCTCACTTTACACTCACAACTGTTATTTGGGGCCCCGGTCTTATCTGCCCCACAGCATTTGATGAAATGGGTTTTATCCACACAAAAATGAATGCCATGATGAACCTTCAAAGAGCCACGGATCTCTTTTTTTGAGCTCGTTTCACTACTGCCATTCTTGTCCAGATTGTGATCATCAGTCCCTGCTCATTGGCTAAGAGGCCCAGAATGAGTTCTGGGGTGGGACATCGGCTTGGTGTCTCTGTCAACAGAAATGGCCAGAGCAGGGTTTTGCTGAAAGTCTTGTATTCCTACCACGCAAGACTCAGCAGAGGAAGGTGGATGGGGCCAAGTATGTGGTGTTGTCGGTGCCCTGGTGTGTGATTAGACATGCAATGAAGATAGCCAGTGCCCCTGTCCCAGCCTCCTCTCCTTTGCTCAAGCTACTTACGCTTGGCTCTCCAGCGGCAAAGTGGGATTGACGCGTTCACCGAAAGCTAACCCGTGCTCCATGCTCAGCCAGCATGCGCTACTCCTCTTCTCTGTGCAAGGTTGGTTCTTCACAGCTCCCTTACCTTGGGGCAGAAACGCACGAGTATGCATGAAACAAGGAACATGTGGTGGCAGGTCCCAAGGTGCAGAACAAGAGTGACTCAGAAAGCAGGATAACAGATTGGGGAAGAGCGCAAGAAACTTGGGAGCCCTGAATTTATAGTGCAACATCAGGGCGTGAGACAAAAAAGGAAGATGGTGGAGGTGGAAAAAAAGTGACAGGAGATCACACGGCAGGGCTATCCGGTAAACATGCAAAGGAACTGAGCTAATAAAATGCTGTCCTGATGTTGGGAAAGGTTGAGGGCACAAGTAGAAGGGGAAGACAGGGACGAGATGGTTGGACAGTGTTCTCAAAGCTACTAACATGAGTTTGACCAAACTGCGGGAGGCAGTGGTAGACAGGAGTGCCTGGCATTCCCTGGTCCATGGGGTCACGAAGAGTCGGACACGACTAAACGACTAAACAACAACAACAAAACCCCACTGAACACTATGGGGCTTGCTTCTGAGTAAGCGTGCACAGGGTTGCACCACAAGGCCTGTTACGTAGTCTGAGAGATTCACTGCAAGCAGGAAATCTACCCCCTGATCACTGGAGGCCCCATTCCTCACCTTTTTCAGTATCTCAGGGCCAAAACATGTTTTGTCTACTTCCATAATTCCACCCTCCCCCCGGGTTTGGTGTGTTTTAAAAAATGAAAAAGCAACTTCAGGGAGCTAGAGGGTTAGGGAGACGAGGGCTCTTTAAATCTTTCACTGCCAGCCACTCTAAAACCACATATCTCTCCAGCAGCTTTGCTTCTCAACAGGGAAAGGATGTGGGGACCACATATGCTTTCTACCATGGAGTGAGTCGACCAACTCGGGAGGAGGCAATTTTGAGTGGACAAATTGCTGGCCAGAAAAGGGTTCAACGGCCCCTTGCATTCTTCCCTGCAAACCGATGCCCCCTGCGGCTACTTCCCTGAAAAGCATAAAAAGGAGTCCAGTAAAAAGTATCAGTCACATAACTGTGCTGTGTGCTTTGAAGTAGGAGCTGCCCATTTTCCAGATTCATCATGAGGTCTAGGAACTTTATCTTTAAATACAAGATAAAAAGAAGAGATTTGTGGGACCCTGTGTTGTCTTGCATGTCTGTGGAGAAATTGCTGCCACACAAATGCCCAGACCCTCTGCCTATATTATCTCAATGGCTGGAGCATCCATATTCCCATCCCAAAGATTGTGTGGTTTGTGGATACCCACTACTGACATCCAGGGGTCTGGCCAGAGCTTCAGGGTCCTGGAGGCTGGCGCTGGTATCCTGGAGGCTTGGCGGAGCATCAGCCGGCAGGCATCTGGCGCTGATGCTCTGAAGTGTGGGTGGTCCCTCAGCATCCATGTGGTTCGCAGCACTGTCTAGCTGGCCAACAGGCGGGGGCCATGGCAGCTCCTGAATTCCTTCGATTTCAACTGGACGGATCATTAGGAGAGAAAACAAAGAATTCTGGAGGGAGGCTGGCTAGATATTCCCAAGCAGCAGAAAAATGCCCTGGGTGTAGCCTTGCTGACTAACAGCCAGCATAAATTGCTGCATGGGAAATTGCTTAAAGCCCCCTCCCAAAGAGGTGCTCAGATCAACCTGTCAGTCCCCACAGCAACATAAAAAAAGATATTAGGACATCCAGACGCCCAGCCAAAGTGATGGAATGGCCAACCATCAGGGATAATAGAAGCTGCAGTCCAAAGCATCTGATGCGCACCAAACTGCGGAAGGCTGGTTTAACTTTTAGCTTGGCTCTCCATCCCACCACAAAAACATAAATAAAGCGGATTCTGTTAGGGACGGGCAAATCTGTCATATTCAGTTTCTCAAGGTTTGTCAGGTTTCCAATCTTACGTTCAGTTTGCTACATTTCCATATAAAATTGTGATCTTTTGAAAAGTCCTTGTAAAATTCATCAGAATTTTATTGTGGATTTCTCCTAATACACATACTTTTGTATGCAATTTTGCCTAATATACGCATTTTCCCACAGCAAGATTCCCTAATATAATGCATTTGGTATGTCATTTTCAGTAATATGTGCATTCATATGCCTGCTTTGCCCTGCTATTTGCATTTTTGTACATGTTACGTGGCTGCAGAACTGCATTACCTCAAATAAGTTTGAAAAACAGCTGTGTCTCAGTTTGCCTATTGTTTCAGGAAGTGTAAATTTGGTAGGTTCACCTTTAAATGAGAGCTGAATTGAAATTCCATCCTGGCTCCCTGTCTTTTGTCTTATGCCTGCCTAATCTCACCTAACCCCCAAACCAAAAAAAGTCCCTGTGCTAATGCCCCCTTTGGCTACTTGCCTGCAAATACCCTGGAGATACGCTCCTTTTTCCACTCCCAGGGCTGATCATATTCCTCCGGTGGCCGCTCATCGTCTTCTGGCAGCCACGAGTATCGGCACTGCACGCCAGGTGGTTGCTGCAGGTCAGGGTCCATGCAGTTCTCAGGTGCTTCATAGGGAATGTCATATAAGTGCAGAGGTTTTTGAGCAGCTAGGGCATCGTTGGAGCCGGTTTTCTGGATCTCTGGTAGCAAAGAAGGAAAAATTTCACTTTAAAGCAGGCTTGCAAATAGTTACTAGCCTGCAAAAGAATTTACCTGCCTGCTGGGAGCTGGCAGAAGAGGGACAGAGAACTCGCTCCCTCCTGCAGCAGTTTGCGGTATCTTTTTGCAGGGCACAGAGAAGGCATAGAGTGCCCCAGCCCACTCCTGTGTCTGCATGGGTTTCCACGCACTTTGCATGCCATTCTTTTTCACTTCTTATGGCTACTGCTTAAAATGCAAGGCCATTTTAATATCCAAGCACAATTCCAAGCACAATTCAAAGTGTTGGTGCTGACCTTTAAAGCCCTAAACGGCCTTGGTCCAGTATACCTGACGGAGCGTCTCCACCCCCATCGTTCTGACCGGACACTGAGGTCCAGCACCAAGGGCCTTCTGGTGGTTCCCTCACTGTGAGAAGCAAAGCTACAGGAAACCAGGCAGAGGGCCTTCTTGGTAGTGGCGCCCGCCCTGTGGAACGCCCTCCCCCCCAGATGTCAAAGAGAACAACAACTACCAGACTTTTAGAAGACATCTGAAGGCAGCCCTGTTTAGGTAAGCTTTTAATGTTTAACAGACCACTGTACTTTAATACTTTGTTGGAAGCCGCCCACAGTGGCTGGGAAACCCAGGTAGATGGGCGGGTATAAAGAATAAATTATTGTTATTGTTATTGTTATTATTGTTATTGTTGTTGTTATTGTTGTTGTTGTTGTTATTCTTATTCTTATTCTTATTCTTATTACCCCTCCCTGGATTCCAGATTTGCACCTCTGGGATTTCACATGTCCAGTTAGAAACTACCCAGTTCCTTATAGCACACTTGAATTAACGGCTCCTCCAGTGACCTGTTGAATACTGAATATTCATTGACTGCACAAAGCATACGTGGTGTTTGGAGGCCATTCAAGTCTTTATTGAGCCTTCCTTCTGATTTGTTTACGGGGCAGTTATACCACAACTGGAATTCCGCCTGTATCCATCCTGATTTATTTGCACTGTTTGCACACCTTCCTACTGACAATTCGTAGCAACCCTGGCCGGCATCTGGGGCGGAACTTTTATTAGGAGATTGCCCAAAGTTTTTGAGCTTTTCTAAGGAGACCAGCCAAAGTTGCTGCTTTTTTTAAAAGTGGATTTGTTCCACTAAGGTAACAGAGCACTTCAATCCACTTGAATTTCCCAAACCTACAGTTCAAGTATGCATTTGAGCCCCTCCTGCAAAATACTGGCAGTCTGGACTGCTGCAGGTTGCTTTTCATATGTAGTGACAGGCAGAGACAGCAGTGACCATAATTTAACTTTCATATTTGGGGCAACTGTTAAGTGACATGGTTAGGAGGAGGAAGAGAAGGAAGAGAATTTCTTCCAGAACAGGACTGCCTCCTTCCGTATTTGTTTTTATTTTTAATGCAATGCCACATTTCTGGTGTTGCATCAGAACAGGACTTGAGGAATCCACATTCACTCAGCCATGAAGCTCCCTGTGGCAACTTTTGGCAGCCACCCAATCTTTCACTGGAGTGAAAGATTATCAGTCATGGGGGCAGGGAGAGTGTGCGTATGAATTTAACAGCGCTCAGCTTTTTATTTTATTTTTAAGTTGCTGTTTTGTTACTGTTGATAATATGGTTTTATAGATTATAAATGCCATATTGATTTGTTAATCACATGAGTTTTGTTGTAACTGCGATATTTAGCTTATTTTTAGTAGCTGCTTTGTTAATAGCGTTTTATAGATTGTAATTGTTTTCTTGATGATTTGTTACTTATTTTAGATCACTGTATTTGTGATGTTCCATTATGTTTTATTGGGACACGGGTGGCACTGTGGGTTAAACCACAGAGCCTAGGACTTGCCGATCAGAAGGTCGGTGGTTCAAATCCCTGCGACGGGGTGAGCTCCTGTTGCTCAGTCCCTGCTCCTGCCAACCTAGCAGTTTGAAACCACGTTAAAGTGCAAATAGATAAATAGGTACCGCTCCAGTGGGAAGGTAAACAGCGTTTCCATGCGCTGCTCTGGTTCGCCAGAAGCGGCTTAGTCATGCTGGCCACATGACCCAGAAACTGTACGCCGGCTCCCTCGGCCAATAAAGCGAGATGAGCGCCGCAACCCCAGAGTCGGTCACGACTGGACCTAATGGTCAGGGGTCCCTTTACCCTTTACCTTTTATTATGTTTTATTATGTCTTCATCCTTTCATTAAGTTGGAAGGGACCCTTAGGATCATCTCATCCCACCCCCATATTTTTTGTAAGCCGCTTTGGGATTCATTTGAATGAAAAGCGGCATAAAAATACAACAAATCAAACCAAATCAATCAAAATCTCAGCCTAACCTTCCTCACAGTGTTGCTGTGAGGATAAAAGGCGAGGGAGGAACTGTCTATTCTGCCTCCAGTTCACTGGAAGAAAGATGAAATTTAAATGTAGTAAGTAAGGGACACGGGTGGCGCTGTGGTGTAAGCCACTGAGCCTTGGGCTTGCCGATCGGAAGGTCGGTGGTTCGAATCCCAAAAAACAGAAAATATCACAAAATTGTGAACTCACAGCTAGAACAATGAGCATGCCACTACTGCGATTTTTTCTGTTAAATACTTTCTACTAGCTTCGTGAACATATAGAAGCCAACCTGGAAACACAATAAACTGAAGGATGAGGTTGAAACAAACAAGTACTGAGTGTAGGAAAATAGAAGATAATGAAATAAAGATCATATATGACACTCAATAGACGTCTTTGCACTAGCTCAGCCTTCCCCAACCCAGTTCTCTCCAGATGTGTTGGACAAAAGCTCCCATAGTCTCAGACCATACTGGCTGGGACTGATGGGAACCGGAGTTCAAAATACCCAGATTAGAGAAAGCTGCATCAGAGAGCATCATTATGTTCCCTATTTCAAAGTTTTCCATCCAACACTGCAAGGTTAGTCTCACTCCAGATCCGGGAGGTCAAGAAACACAGAAGACTTAGCATCAAAACGGTACTTTACCCGCCAGCAACTTCTGAGCTTCATACGGTTCCATATATCCTTCGCTTTTCACCCTTTCCTGCTCCCCGGTTTGACAACTAGTTTCTTGTCTAGTATCAAATGGATCTGCGTAGTCCTCCACTATCATCATCTGAAAGAGAGAAGACGACCCAATTAGTTAGAAAAATACGGTGCTGTTTTATACAGAGTCAGGCCATGGCTCCATCTACTTTGGTACTGGGTTTCATTGTATTTTACCTATTGTTTGTAACATGTTTGCTCTTTCGCTTTGTGCTTTAAATCCATAATTTTTTGGAACCTGAAAGCCAAGGCAGCTAGTTTCCTTCACCTCCTAGAGGATAGTCGTGATGGCAATGTTCAGAAAAAGTTATTTATGTGTGCACCAACTGCGGCCCGTGTTTTGTTAGCCCCAAAATGGAAAACAAGCAAGGTCCCAACCAAAGAAGAATGGCAACTTAAGTTGACAGAATATGCACAACTTGCAGACTTAACATATAAGAGAACAAGAAGAACATATGTTTAAAGAAGATTGGAAAACATCTACTGAATATATGGGAAATAAATGTGTACAGCTGAAAACGCTGGCAGCATTAAGATAAATTCAACAGCGTAAGTAAGTTTTGACAGATGCAATAATGGAAAACCGATTGGTATAGTTTTTGTAAAATATGCAGGGATTTATAATATGTAAAATGAACCATGGAAAGAGAAGAAGGGAAGTCATTGATATCTTAAGGATGTCAAATGTTTATTTTAAACTGTAAAAGAGAAAATGTTTTTTATATATATATATATATATACACCAAAACAGCAAGCAGTCAACATGACTTGTCCATACCTAGGAAAGCATTTATACAAAACCAAGCTATGTAAGCTGGCCTCTACAGCCCAGTTAACTCACCCTTGGCTTGCAGGCCCCTTCCCAACTCTGACTGTAGGAGCCAACTCCTAGGGGCCAAGGTACCTTCAACCCCCTCCGCCCAATAAATTTCTGAGGGGGCCACCTACCCCAAAAAGTTTGTGGGCATTGCCATTCAAATGACGTGCACATGCCATGTTTTGTGATCAATTATGTGGGTAGAGGCTTACCGCCCCCACCCCCAATATTTTATTAAAGTTGACACCCCTGACTCTCACCCATCTCCCCGATAAGGGAGAAGCTGACAGGCGGGCAGTGTGAGAAGCCTCCCCTCTACCAACTAGCTAACCATCCCAAGCCCACCGATCAGCAGCGCATCAAAGCAAGCCAAAGAGCACATTGAAAAGCAAAGGCTTAAACATATGTGAACTCATTCATGCAGCAACTAACAATTAGTCCCAGTGCTATCTTGCCTACCAAGGTGGCATTTACAGGCCTTCCAGAACATTTTCGCGGTTTGGTTCTGCACAGGAGAGCGCTGTTGCACAGCACTCAAAATCCACTTGTCGATTTCCCAGAGGCATCTGGTTGGCCACTGAAGATCAGGATGGTGGACTAGATTGGGCCACTGGCCTGATTCAACTTGGCTCTTCTGAGTTCTTATGCTTATTCTTTATTGAATTTATATACTGTCCTATACCCCGAGGTCTCAGGGCGGTTCACAGAAAAGATCAGCATAAAAACCAGAATATACAGTGGACGCTCGGGTTGCGAACATGATCCATGCAAGAGGCACGTTCGCAACCCACAACCCACGGGTCGCGATTCAGCGCTTCTGCGCATAGCGCGATTTAGTGTTTCTGCACATGCACAAGCGCCAAAACCTGGAAGTAACCATTCTGGTACTTCCAGGTTCGGCGCGGTGCACAATCCGAAATCACACAACCCGAAGCGTCTGTAACCCGAGGTATGACTGTATAATCAAAATAAACAACAACTCAATAACACACACACCCCAAAAAGGAGCCACACAAGAAGTAACTTTCTAATGCAGGGGTAAGGCAGGAGCCTGTGGCCTCCAGGTCTTGCTGGACTCCAACTCCCATCCTCCCTGACCATTGGCCATGCTGGCTGGGACTGATGGGAGTTGGAGCCCAGCAACATCTGGAGGGCATTGCATGGGCTACAGGTGATCTAGGGGGCGGGGGGGGGGAGGGGATAAGCAAATCCTGGTAACCTGTGGTGCCCAAAGGGCCATGAGTCAAAAAGAGCAGCCAAGGACGTGTCTATGCAAAACCCAACACGACCACTTTAATTCCTGCCTTGCAGGGGTTGGACTAAATGACCCTGGGACCCCTTTCCAACTCTGGAATTTTGCGATTGTAACAACTGGGAGAGAGACCCGCTTCAAAACTGCCGGCGAGGTGGCCTCCGGTCCATGCAGGGCGAGGGCACGGTCCTATACACGTGAACTCGGAGGTGAGCCCCAGTTGGCTCCCGGCTGCTTACCTCCGGGGAAACGTGTCTGGGATCGAAGCCGAGAAGTCTTGCCCCGCCCGTCCCCAGGCTCCTTTTTGCGTTTTGCTGGGACAAGGAGAACAATGGAGGCTTACTTCCGAGTAAACAGAGCCAGGCTGGAGGCTGAAACGAAAGCCTCCCCACCCCACCCCACCCTCCGGAGAAATTGCGTCGTGTAAACAGGGGCACCTCCGGCTCCGGCTCCCGCCCCGGCAGCCCCCCGACGGAGAGGGCGGCCCCACCTTTTCTCGCTGGCCCTGGGCATCGCCGGTCCCGGAGGCCGCGGCTGTTTCGGCCGCCTGCGCCGCCTGCGCCGCTTCCACCCGGATGAGGCGCCTCCGGGGCGATCGGCAGCGGCGGCCGTCGGGGTCGGCGGCGGGCGCGGAGGAGGCGGCGGCGCCGCCCGCGTAGGGTCTTCGAAGTCCCGCTCCCGCTGCAGCCGGTAGGCAGCGAGCAGGTCGGGCTGCTCGGGGCCCGCCGCGTAATCCGGCTGCGGCGGCGCCGGCTTGGCGCTGCGGAAAGCAGGCGCTCGCGGAGCCAGCGCGCCATGGTGCGCCCCGGGGCGGCGGCGGCGGCGGCGGCGGGGCGCACGCGGAGCAGCGGCGGCGGTCCCGGGCCCGCGGAAGGGCCGGTCGGAGCTCCTGCTCGCCTAGCCGGCCGGTGCGGAAGCGCTGTGCCCGCCCATCGCCCCCGATCTCCCCCTCCTTTCCCGGCGCGCTGCTCCCCGAGACGCATCGGGCCTTTGGGGCGCAAGCTCGGCGACGGGGCGGCGATCGCCCCGGAGCGCCCCCGATCCCGATCGCTCCGGTGCGGAGCCTTGGCCTCCCAGTGACCCCACAACTTTAACAGGGCCTTGGGGGGCGGGGGTTCCTTTTCGCGTGCGTTCCACGTCCCCCCTCCCCATCGACGCGCCCCGTTTCCAAGCATAGCCCCGGATTCCCCCCTTAAAAAAATATGGTCCCTGTTTTGCTCGGGTCTCTGACAGTTGTTACCGGGAAACTGGAAAAGGGGTGAGAGGCACCCCTCCCCCCCCAGCCTTGCCTCTCCGCACTAGGCGGCAAAGACAAAGCCTCAGCTGCACATTACCAAATATAGCAGTTCATTGATAAACTATGCACTGGCTCAATGGGGAAACTTTAGGAAATCATAAGAAAACGCATCGTGGTGTCAATGTTCCAATGGCATTTAGGACCCAAGGAAGTGAGGTGTAAGGGGAGGGGTGAGTGAGGCCACCATAATCTCTGAGATGTAGTCAAGTCCAGGGGTGATATCCTGCCCCAAGAGTGTCAGGCAGATAACCATCTCAATCACAATGCCTACCCACCCCATAGTGGGATGAAGACAAAGTGGGGTATTTGACTTGACTCAGGGACCAGGGAACTATAAATGCTTTCCTTTGTACTCTGATGGAGTATATTTGAGTGACAGGGCTGTGCCTGGATCTCAGGTTCTACCTGAGAACACAACTTTTTCTCTGACATATCTGTGATGTCTTGATGATGCTTCCAGAAATGTATTATGGGAAACTTTAGGAAACTTTAAAATACGGATGTAACCATTGTCTGGGGCTTCTCTCTGCTTCTTCTGTGGGGTAGTTTGAAGTCTTGTTGCAACAATAAAGATCAGGCCCACTGGCTGCTGTTTTGCTTCTATCTCCTGGCTGAAGTCTTTTGGTTGTGACCCCCAACCTGAACTGGTGAGAGCCAATGTGGTGTAGTGGTTAAGAGCGGTAGACTCGTAATCTGGGGAACTGGATTCGCGTCTCCACTCCTCCACATGCAGCTGCTGGGTGACCTTGGGCTAATCACGCTTCTCTGAAGTCTCTCAGCCTCACTCACCTCACAGAGTGTTTGTTGTGGCGGAGGAAGGGAAAGGAGATTGTTAGCCGCTTTGAGACTCCTTAGGGTAGTGATAAAGCGGGATATCAAATCCAAATTCTATGGGAGCCAAGGTTAGACAATTGTGGGGTTGCTCCAAGGTCTCCCTTATATACAGTGAAATCTAGCGCACATGCAATTGGATCCCATGCGGAACTACTCAGAAGAAAACCCCATTCACTGCCAAGGTAAATATGTGGGACTGGAGTATGGCATCACAACCCTAGATGAGTTGCGATCAGAGGAGAGTTGTTCTCTAGTAAGGACATACCAGATTGCAGTTGTGTGTACCTTGATGCACATTGAGTTCTGTGGGGCTTGGCTGCATGCACATGCCATACACTGAAAGCACATTGCATCCCCTCTGAAGAATCCTGGGAACCATAGTTTGTTAAAGGTGCTGCGAGGCATAAATCACAGTATCCAGGATCCTTTTGGGGGGGAGGTACTTTCAATGTATGGTATGTACAGTCCCAACAGGTGTGGATCTTGCTGTTAATGCACATGCATCGAATATACCCCTTTTATATTGAACACATGGAAAGATGGGGGCGGGGGCGGGAAAGAGAGAAGCATAACACACACCATTTTCACTCTTGCCTGCCATGTATTGTTCAGCTAAACCTGCCCTTAGATTCTGGGCACATGACCAGGAACACTGGAAAAACAGGCTTCCTGAGATTCCTGATACATCACCAGAGAGTTTCGGATCACACATGTGCAACTTCTGTGCACATGCACAAAGCTGAACAGGCAGAGTTGGTGCATGCATGGAGATGGTGCATGAAAACCCACTGCTCCACTCATGTGCGTTCAATACATTATATGAAAATGTGTTCATCGTCCAACACCAAACCTGAGCACATTTGACAGCCATGTATTCTTCCCCTGTTTATCCCTGCCTCGACTTCCCCTGTTGTTTCTTCTGTGCCAGGTTTTAGATTGTATGCTCCTCAGGGCACGGGACTCTTGCACCTGGTAAAATGCCATGTAGAGTGATATATTAATCATAACCGTAACCGTAACCTACTTGAGATATTTTATGGGAAGTGAGTAAATAAATGAAAATAATTTGCCCTGTTTTTGTTTCAGCTGTTGAGTGGAAAATGGACAGCCTGCAGCAGGAGTCTCACAAATGCAGTATGCCTGTGTTGCCTAGATCTCAGAGGCAGGGGACCCAAAGCAGGGTCCGACAAGATAAATAAAGTTGGCAGGCATATTTATATGGAGGAATGATATTCTTGAAATATTCTGTTCGTAGGCAGTTTAGGGCTTCACGGTAAAAACAGCACTTGATTTGAGCCCAGAAACAGATGGGCACTGTTGGTTCAAGATCTGTGCAATGCAAGCCGACCATCCAACCAGTTTGAAGGAGCCTGGCAGCCACCTCTTCAACCATGTTTTCATGTTTTCCTTGAGAACATCCCCAGACAGAGGGCATCAGGGGAGTCAGATCTGGAGATGGCCACAAAAGCATGAATGCAGGGAACAGATAGCTGTATGTCCCATAGTATTCTCTTTATGAAAGTCCTTTCAATTGAGGACCCAGCCAAGCCCAAGCCTGACCATTGCAATGTTGTGTGCCACCCTAGGTGTGTGTGTGTTTTATAAACTTTCTTTTCTTTTTTTACTGACAAACAAGATCTGTTTAGCCTGGTCTTTGTGGGTCAAATGTAATTGCATTTTAATAAAATTCGTTCTGTTTGTGGCGGTGGGGAAGCCTTTGTTACTAACGCCGCTCTTCGGGGATGGAGCAGGCTATAATGCAAGAATGCTACGAATGGAAATCATGTGTGTAGCAATCTCAAAAGAGCATAAATACATAGTACCTGCATAAACCAAGTCTAATCTGGTGCCATGCTTGGAATCCGGGTGCAACGCTAAGTTTTTGCATTATAAAGACACAAATGAAAACAAACAAACCGCTCTTTTAGCCTTAAAAAAATAAAATACGGTAAATCGCACAGCTCAATTCAGCCCTAACTCAAATACACCACTGCGTCTCCAAATGCCTTCTCGCTAATCGAGCCTGGCATTTGGGAGCAATGCTTAGGTTCCACGTTATAAAAGCACAATTAAACAAAATCAACCTTCCTTTGAACCATTAAAAAGAAAAGAAAAATAATTGCCCTCCTGCCGTGACTCGGATTCGAACCGAGGTTGCTGCGGCCACAACGCAGAGTACTAACCACTATACGATCACGGCGAGCTACCAGGGAAGACGAGAAAGAAGGACGCAGCCGCCCTCTTCAGTGTCACAGTAAATGATGTCACTCGTTCTCGAGCTGCGAGTGGCCGTAATCGCTTTCACCGCCCTTCTTTCCAACGCATGCGCTTTAGCGCGGCTGCTCTCAAGCCGCGCGCCTGCGCTCTAGGGCGCCCTCCGCCTTCAGACAGACGCCGGGCTGCCTGCGGGTGGGGCGAGCCTGGAGGGAGCCGCTTTATATAAACTAATCCATCGCTCGATTGCAGCAGGAAAACCCACAGAAGCTAAAAAAAACCCAAAACCCTAAAGATAAAAGGAGCCTCTTGTACTTTCCTCGTGGCCTAGATGAGGCGTTGCGCCACTCTACACTTTTACAGGCTCTACAGTCACTTTCCCCGCCCCGCCCATTCTGGGCTGAGCACGCCGCCGTGCTGACGTTGCCACCTCGTATTCTAGCCCCGCCCCTTCCGAGAGCGGCCGTTGCTGTCTGTCTCGCGCGCTTGATTTGAATGTGAGGCGACGGTTGGCCGTCGAGGGGGCGGCTGAGGCGGCGCGTCGCTCGCGGCCCTTGGTCGGCGGCTGAGGGCCTTGCTCCGGCCCCTTCCTCCGAGATGGTCGGAGAGGTTGTGGTCAACGACTCCCGCCCGTCGGGTTCTTCCCGGCTTTCTTGGCTCGAAGGCGAGGGCCTTCGCCACCGCCGCTTTCCTGAGGTGACACAGCCGTCGTGGTAGCCGCTTCGTACACCGCAGCGCCTCCAAGCGGTGCCCCAGCTTCCTCTCGTTTCCCTCGGCGCTGGGCAAGGGAAAGGTTGGCCGTTTCCAACGCCTCCTGGAAACGGTGAGGTTTGGGCGTCAAATGTACGCATCAAGTTACGGACGCGTTGCGTTCCGTTTACCATTTTTTTTAAAAAAATTAAGGGTCAGTGTATGTTCCAGCAGATTCTAAAGCTGCCCCAATAAGCAGGGATGTAAACCTAAACAAACAATCCCTTCCGTAGAAAAAGCTCATAATAGCAGAGCCAGTGCAGATGCGAGGCAAGGAATTCTGATCGGATCTCCCCTCCTTGTTCATAAAGTAGCCACAGAGGGATGTCGGGATGTTTTCATTTTGGTTATATATACAGTGGTACCTCTGGTTGCGAACGGGATCTGTTCCAGAGCCCCATTCACAACCTGAAAGGAACGCAACCCGTGTCTGCGCAGACGCGGGTTGTGATTTGCCACTTCTGCACATGCGTGTGACATCATTTTGCGCATATGCGCAAGTGGCGAAACCCGGAAGTAACCCTTTCCGTTACTTCCAGGTCACTGCAGCACGTAACCTGAAAAAACGTATCATGAAGCAAACGTAACGAGGTATGACTGTATTGCGGTTTTTAAGGCTGATCTCTTCTGTGAACCGCCCTGAGACCTCTGGGTATAGGGCAGTATATAAATTCAATAAATAATAAAAATAAAATCTGTTGAGCTTTCCTGATCAAAATCAGTATACTGGGGTGGGTGGTGGTTTCCCTCAGATAATAAACTCTGACCCAGAAGCTAGTGCCATCCACTCCTGAGGAGAACATCAGTGGCCCAGGAGCTCTGCTGTTCTATTTTATTTGCAAATTTTAATACTATGATAATGGAGGAGAGAAAACCCAGGAAAGGTTCGGTCAATAGAATCTTCCCCACAATCAAAGGGCCTGTGTAGACCTCTGAGAGCCTTTAGTTGGATAGGTAACGAGAGACTGAGGCCAAGGTAAGTTGAAGCAAAGCAGTCTGTAGGCTGGTATTTATTGTCGCTGTTACAACAGGTGAGTCATACAAGGTTTGGGGATTACATGAGGTCTTATATTTGGTTTGTTTCCCGTTCCCCTAGGTGTCATGAGAGGATGAAACGGGAAACTGATAGTTGGAGACAGTGCCTGACAGGATGCTTTTCAAATACAATCACAAACTCAGACTAATTTACAGGAACCATAAGGATGTTAACAAACTGAAAGGTTTTAACAAGCAAACGAAAGATGATAACATAGATCTCAGGAATAAACAGTAAACTGTGTTGCAAGTCATCAGTCAGTGGTTACAAAGTACTTAATTAAATGGTGCAAAAACAAACTGTTACATGACTTCGCAGTCAGTCACAAGGGAAAAGGGTCTGACTCATGGGGATATATTTTATATTAAGATACACTTTTATTTCAAGAGTCACATTTGGAGGAGGAAATTGAGACAGCATTTCCATATCACCTAAATTGTAAACCATTACAGGTGTCTTAGCAGAAGAGTGATACACAAATGCAATTAAAAAGGTACATGCCTTTCCTCCAAGCCCACCTAATAGCGGCATGGAACTAGTAAGTTGGGAAAACAGCGCTGGAATTACATATTCCATCTCCAATAAAGGCTCCACTTCAAACAAGATCCCTTGAGGAAGGGAGACAGGATTACGTGTCACACCTACTTCATCCCTTTGTCAGTTTTCTTTGCCCGGCAATAAAATTAGTAATGGTCTGTATATACTTGTTGCAAATCATAAATTTGTCAAAGATCTCATATTCAAATCAGGGATACCCAGTAGGCACCAGACATATTCCCCCCCCCCCCCCACCTTCATTTTAAAATCTCTTTCAAAAAAATATATTAGGAATATTATATAACACTACAATACAAAATATAATGAATTGTGTTCCTGGCAGGTAACCTAGTGCAGGAGTTGCCAGTGTGTCTGCAGGTGCACATGTGCCTACACAAGCATTACCGTATTTTTTAGCTCCATAAGACGCACTTTTTCCCTCTAAAAAGGGGAAATGTGTGTGCGTCTTATGGAGCGAATGCAGGGGGGGCAGGCAGGAAAAGCCCCCAAGAGCTCCGCATGGCTCTTGCGGACTTTTCCCCAGGAGGGAGAAGGGACTGACGTGGCCAGTCAGTCCCTTCTCCCTCCTCGTAGAAAAGCCCGCAGGAGCCGCACGCTCCTTAAAGGGTGTGCGGCTCCTGTGGGCTTTTGCAGTAGGTGGGGGTATTGCCATAGCTATGGCTTCTTTAGCCGCACGCAGCCTCTCCTGGCTGGAGAGGTTGCGCGCAGCTAAAGAGGAAGCCAAGACAGCGAGTGGGATCCATCCCGCTCAGTGTCTTGGCTTCTCCCATAGCTGGAGAGGTTGCGTGCGGCTATGGCAGAAGCCAAGACAGTGAGCGGGATGGATCCCGCTCACTGTCTTGGCTTCTTTGCTCTTTTGGGCTGGGGGGGGGGACCCGGGCTTTCCCCAGAAGCCCCACGCAGCCTGTCCGCTGCTCTTTGGGGCTGGAGGGGGGAATAAGATTTTTTTTCTTGATTTCCCCCTCTAAAAATTAGGTGCGCCTTATGGTCCGGTGTGCCTTATGGAGCGAAAAATATGGTACTTGGTACCCACCGCGCCTCCTCCCTTTGGTGAAATGTGGGTTGAAATAAACATCCTGTTGTAGCCAATAGATTGCAGCATGTGCTTGACTGTGGGGTTAGTGTGGTGACAGTTTCTAACTGCCTCAACCTGTTTGCAAAAATGCCCATGAATCAAAGAAGTTGGTGACGCCTGATCTAGTGTATTTGCAAAAGATCCAACCTAATATTTTCTTTAGCGTGCTACATTAATGGGGTCACAGTTTCACCAAAAACCCAATGTCTGATTCACTTGAAACAGTGCCAAACACATGCAAATCGCCCTCTGCAACGTTGGGTGGTGCAAACCCCATGTTTCACGATAGCACACGTGCAGTGCAAGTCCCACACGTTTTAGTGCCTGAAAATCATAAATTGCACTCTGTCTTGGGGAAAGCAAAATAAGGGGAATTTACTGCACTCCAAAGAAACCATCCTTTTGTTTCTGTGAACTTTCTGCTTGCAGCTCTTGAGTTGGGGCATTACATCTGCACTGTAGTGTAATACGTAGTTTTCTGTTTCCCCAGAGTTCTTTCTTGTGAAGTTAGTGACCAGTAGATGGCACAATTTTTCCATAAAAAGCTGGGAATCCAAACCGCTGACTAGTTTGAAGGATTCAGCCAACTTGTATGTGATGGTCAATTTTTCAGGTTTCCAGGCCACTGTATACAGGATAGCTATTCCAGTAGCTTTCTTAGAATAATTGCTGTGTGCTGCCATTACCCTGGACAAGTAAGAGGGTTGTGTTTGTGGCAGGAGGAGAAAACAAGATTGCTGCTGTTGATTTTTTAATTGTTATTCTCTTTCACAGCACCACAGCTGGAGCTAGTGAATTACCTTTCTCTGGAGTTTGGACCACGGTGCCTGTTAACAAAACTTGGACGTATATCAAGCAGTGCTGTGCTCACTAAAGCGACTTAGTCTGTAAAAATGCTTAGCAGGGGACATCTCACAGTGTAGAACCTGATCTGGTCCCACAGCCACTGCTTCCCTTCTGCCGCCACGAAAAGATGGAGAAGGAGGTCTTGCCGGCATCATTCTGTCACCTGCAAGAGAAAAATGGTAAGCAGGACGCCAGGAGTGCCTGCTTTTCTCGCAGATGAAACAGGGCATCTCTAACTACAGATGGGCTTTTGAGAAAGTCTTACCTGCTGAGTGCATTTGGATGTTGGCCTCTCTCTGGTATCCAATGGAGCCCGAGGTCCGCACTACTTATATATCTTCAATGATGATGTCATCTGGATGGAAGAGAATGAGAAGAGAATGAAAATGAGATTTTCCCACAGGCCTTTAGTCAATGGGCGCTGTCTCCAAGGTGTGGGGCTTACATTCTTTCGGCTTCAGGCGGAAGCAAGCCAGGTCCGGCCGAACTACTATCATCTGCAGAGGAAAGAAAAATCAGGGTCAGATGGGAGCAAGAGAGCACAGAAGCAGCGCCAAGTCAGGAAGGATGGGTCTCCCTCTGTCTTGGGCCCAATCCCTTGTTCCAGAGGACCTCCCTGGGCCCTGCAGCCTCCTGGGCAGAGGTGGAAGGGCAGTAGCAGGAAAGGGGGCAGGAAAAGCCTCTGGCCTCATCCTGACCCCCAGAGACACACCCTGCATCATCTGCGCTAAAGATCACTTGGGGATGTGATCTTGGGGGGATGGAAGTAAACAAAGAAATGAATAGAAGAAGGCAAGGTACTTATTCTGAGATTGGGGTATTTCCGGGCAATAGCCAGTAGCAAGGAAATGCTGCTGGCCACTAGTTCTTGAGCCTCCCCACTTTCCCCCAGGGCGTATCCTCGGAGGTCCTGCAGAAGGAAAGAGCGTCTGAGAGTCAGGGGCCAGTCTGGGTCAAAGCGGCCCCCACTGCCCCCACCACGGAGTCCCTGGCACTTCTGGACCATGAGGGTTTGCCAGCTTTGGTCTTGGACCAAATTGGGGGCCAAACAGGCTCTGTGCCCCAGAAATGGTGCAGTCCATTGGGTAAGGGGGGGGGGACAACCCTAAAATCACCCCTGATGCCGTCGGGACACTTACACTGAGAAGGTGGAGGAGGGTGCCAGGGTTGGGGGCTTCCATAAGGAGACTCCCGAGCAGGAGCCGGAAGTGCCTCTTCAGTTCCTGCGGGAAAAGAGAGAAGAGAGTTTGAATGCTGGCCTGGATTCTGCAAGCGTGTGACAAAGAAGAAGAAAGAGCCATGAAGGGAAGTCAAAACAAAGGGCATATTTCTCTCTCCTCCTCCTCAGCCCCTTCTAGCACGGCCTCCAATGTCCTGTGCAGGATCGCACTGATCATATCACAGCTGAATTTGGGCCTCATGGTGCTGCAGAGATGAAAGGGAGAGGGTTAGATTCTCCCTTGCCCCCTTCTCCCTCCCGCCTGCTCTTTCCCCCTGGAGTTCTACCCCCCACCCACAACCCCATCCACGCCAAAGACCCCACTCACCTTAGCTGGAGGAGGGCCTCCAAGGCAAGGGCCAGGGTCAGGGGGCGATGCCTGAAGTGCTCCAAGGGCCCCAAGATGTCCTGGAAGAGAACAGAGGAGGAAAATCAGCTCCGACCCCAAACACCAGGTTTGGCTTTGCAGGGGAATGGCAACCCCATGCCCTAAGCCGGCAGGGTCCTCCTCTCCGCAGATGCACGACCCCTTCCCCCCACACCACCCATCACTCACCAGAATGGCTTTGGCCGTCTCCTGCTTGGAGCACTTCAGGGATCGGAGCCCCCTGAGCTCAGCTGTCTGGCAGCTCTGGATGACCCCCAGGAGGTAGATCTGTTCATCCTTCAGCAGCTGAAATGCAAAAGTCAGGCTATCAGTTCCTCGTGAGGGGAGCGATTCTCCGCATCTGAGAGTGCAGAGTGGGAGGCAAAGAGCCTGGGAGGGGGGCAGGTCTGAGGGATCCAGTCCCTGCTCTTGTTTTCTCCAATACTCACCCCTGGGGCTGAGATGCGGAACCGCAGCAAAACTGTAAACAGAAGGACATGGGAACAGGCGAGTCCTCTTTTGCATCCTTGGACTGGTTGCCCCCCATGCCCATTCCTGCCCTCCTCTGTCCAAAAAAGGAGGGCCGCTTGCTCACCTGGTGCCACGGGCTGCTCTGGGTCTTGCTGGGGGGCCACCCTGTGACAGCGCCTGAACAAGCGCCTTAAGCACCTGATCCTAGAAGAGATGAGCGGAAAGAGTGACTCAGACGCCAGCAGCCCCAATTCTTGGGGGTGTTTGTGTGTGAGGAGGGGCGTCTGGAGAAAACAGTGAACCACTGCCAAATTGGCAGAACAGAAATATGTATGTGGAACCTAATCGATCCTTGCTGGCCCGGCCCATCATGACCAATTCCTTCCATCTCTGCAGTTCAGTGACCTGAAGGGGCATCATCAGAGCCTGAAAGAGGCAGCCCAGAGCATGAAGGGCTGGCAGAGAAAGAAAGGTGGTCCCAAGTGCTCTGGGTTCAAGAGCTCTGGCCATGCCAGGACCCAGAGAGCTTGGTCCCCTCATTCATGCAGTCAAGCAGTGTATAAATTTCATGAAGCAAATGAAATGAATAGGGAGAGGGGATAGCTTTGGGTCATCCATTAACATTGTTACTGGAAGTTTTGGAAAGGGTGGCGGGGGGTTTCCCCCTCCAGCGGGCACCATACGCCCCTCCGACTGTACCCCAAATCAATACCTTCACTTCTGCAAATGTCCCCACAAAACACATCCTGACACAGTCCTTTCCTTTTTCTATTCCAAAGGCTCCCATAAATAAGGGTAGAGCATTTGCCCTAATCAAGGCTGAGCCTCTCGCTCACAAGCCACTCAACCAATCTGCTCGGACTATCCAAAGAACTGTCCAATAGCAACCAGTGAGCGCCACAAAACAGCACCCTCTAGAACAAAGCACTGAGGGCACAAGGAGAAGGGGATGACAGAGGACCAGATGGTTGGACAGTGTTCTCGATGCTACCAACATGAGTTGGACCAAACTGCGGGAGGCAGTGGAAGACAGGAGTGCCTGGTGTGCTCTGGTCCATGGGGGCACAAAGAGTCAGACATGACTAAACGACTACAGAACAAAGCACACAGGCATTGCAGCTGCCGACCAGCCGTGGCCTCTGCTCTACAAGTAGGAATTCCCACTGGGAAAGGGGGAAAGTCAGAACCAGCCATGAAAACCATTCTTGGTCCATTGAAACTACTCTTTTAAGTTTCAGTCTAGGCTCTTGCACTACCAACCCAGCTGTATGCTTGTGAAACATGGGCCGCTTATAGATGCCATCTCCAACTCCTTGAAAGATTCCATCAATAGTATCTCTGAAAAATGTGACACACTGCTTGGGAAGGCAGGCGAACTAATACCAGTGTCCTGCAAGAAGCAAAGATCACCAGTGTTGCAGCAATGATTCTTCAACACCAACTTCACTGGACTGGTCATGTCCAATGGCTGGGAAACACTGGCCTGCAAGCGCTACAATAGGAGAACAGCCTTTACCAATGGTGTCATGGACTTTGAAGACACTTGAACTCAGGACACAAGGGAGAAACGAGCTAAGAGAAAGGCACGCTTGGCAAACCCTCACTGTGATCAACTCCCGCCCAGAAAATATGTCCCCACTGTGGAAAGACGTGTGGATCCGGAATTGGCCTCCACAATCACTTACGGACTCACGGTTAAAACTCACTGTTCATGGAAGTCAATCTTAATCAGCTACGAGTGATAGAAGAAGAAGAAGAAGATTATGATATCTGGTCATAGCACTCGCCTCCTCTTGCAGCGGGAAAACCTTCAACTATTCATATAAAAGCAATCCAACATCGGATTGACACCGTTCCAATGCTGTTCTGCTCAGAAGGAAGATAGCTACCAGAGGAGGCACTTGGGACATAGCTAGGGGCAGCCATCATCCCTGAAGCATGAGACCACGTACACAGCAACCCTTCTGCTTGGGTGATAATCACTGCCCTCCTGGTCTCTGAGTGCCAGACATTTAGTCATCTCAAGAACAAGAGTGGATCCAACCTACGTGGTTTGGGGACTTGGCCAGGACAATTTGGCTGGGAAACAGACTCACACCCCCCCCCCCCCGGAAATGAAGAGAAAGTGATGCTACTTACAGCCTGCCCATGTCATCCACGAAAGATCCCACCCTCCTATCTAAAGTAACTAACTATCTGAAATGCCCACCCAAACCTAAATCCGAACCCCAACCCCTGCCCTAAGTCTATACCTAACTCCTGCCCTAACCTTACACTTAACCCTAACTATTACTCTATATAAAAAATAAAAATTTACAAAATATATACAGAATATGCACAGATGTGCACAAAAAACAAAAATATCAAAACAAAGAACAAAAAATAAAAGTGTTAAAAGAAAAGAATAAAAGAGAATAAAAATAAATCAAATAAATGTAATAAATGAAATCAAAATAAGAAAACGGAAAAAGAATAATTCACTAACCTCTGTCTACTTTCCACCAACCGCCACCACCTCCTTTCTCCTCTGACCTCTTCTCACTAACCCACAATGGTTGCCTGCAAGTCAGTGGCTTTTAAAGGAGAAGCAAGAGATGTCACAAAGGAGGGCGGGTCCTTGTTGTGGGATGTGAAACACAAGAGCAGTCAAGTACAACATTCCTAGAGTGAACATGTTTACACATGGGGAGGAATGTTTGTCCTGTTTCCTTCTGGGCTGGGACAGACTTCCTCTGCATGTGGCTAGAGGTGGGTGTAGCCTCACCTGTGCAGGTAATCACAAAAGCACAGGGCAGGGCAGCTATCTCTCTCTCTTTAACTACATGCATCAAAGAAGCAACATCTGCTTAGCCAAAGATGCCCTCTTGGCTCCAGCCAAGAGAGGACAAAGGGACTGTCTTCTTATGGAATAGTTTCCAAGTGTATGTTACTTTTCCAAGCTAAGTCTGCCTTCCGGGATCCGATTGTGAACAGAATATGTGAGTAAACCTTTTTATGAGGGACACGGGTGGCGCTGTGGGTTAAACCACAGAGCCTAGGGCTTGCCAATCAGAAGGTCGGTGGTTTGAATCCCCGTGACGGGGTGAGCTCTCGTTGCTCGGTCCTAGCTCCTGCCAACCTAGCAGTTCGAAAGCACGTCAAAGTGTAAGTAGATAAATAGGGACCGCTCCGGCGGGAAGGTAAACGGCGTTTCCGTGCGCTGCTCTGGTTCTCCAGAAGCGGCTTAGTCATGCTGGCCACATGACCCGGAAGCTGTACGCTCGCTCCCTCGGCCAATAAAGCGAGATGAGCGCCACAACCCCAGAGTCGGCCACAACTGGACCTAATGGTCAGGGGTCCCTTTACCTTTACCTTTACCAGAACAGTTATTATAGAGGCTTTAGTGAGCCTGAGCAAACACATCCGCTGCAAGTTTAAAAGGGGGAATGTTACTCTGCTAAAATTGTAAACTTGTTAACACAAGTTGGAAAGGGTATTATCAGACAATATATCCTCCTGCATCCCTGAACATTCCCACACTTGTCACCGTGGCAACTCCCCCACTAGGACCTGGCCCCTCCTGAGTGGTGATGCTTCTCTGTCAGAACTCAGAGGCACCTGCTGTTCCGCCTGCAGCTGGGCTGCATCTTCATTTCACATCCTTCCTGCAGCCCCATTCCCAAAGGGAGACCAGCCCCACGCCCTTCCAGGCAGGCTAGGCATCTCCATAGCGCAGGATTGGACCATCTGCTTGGCATGCAGGTCTTCTGTCCTGGGCGGTATCTCTGGGGGGGGGAATCTGGGAGATTGGGAATGTCCCCTCCTCCAAACCCAGGGGAGCTGCTACCGGTCAGTGAGGGGGGTTGAAGAAAGATATTGAGCAGCTGGAAAGTGAGCAGAGGAGGGTGACCAGGATGATGAAGGGTCTGGAAACCAAGCCTTATGAGGAACGGTTGAGGCAGTTAGAAACCAAGCCTGATATATAGCTTATAGATATGGAAGATAACATCAAACAGAACTGTGTGTGTAAAAAAACAGGAAAAAGGGAGGGCAACTCTATTTTGCAAAAGGTTTACGATGGAGACTTAGAGCTGACTCTTCCCCATCCTTTATTATTTATGGAGTGAATCTTGCAGTTGTGTAAGGGATTATTTTTTTGACTGGAATGTAATTGAAATTCATAAGATTTTGGAACGCAGAAATAAAATAATCAACCATCAATTCTAGCAAATGGGAGGCCACCTAAATTATATAATTTTGTATTTGAACAATAGGTGTTTGTCATTGTATTATAGTTTGGTATCGTTATAATGAGGCTATTATTGGATTGAAACTGAAAATTAATAAAAAAATTATTATCGAATATGTTAGTCCTTTTTATTGCTTGGCCAGTGCTTGCCATTTGCTAATCAGCATGCAAATCATATCCAATTGCTAATCATTCAATCAGTCATATTTTACTGGATTTTGTGTGAATTACCATATATTCAATTTTCTATTTCCCCTTTTCTGTATACATTCTATATTGTTTGTAATTCCATTTCATATCATCTCCATTTATCATTTCTATTAAGCTTTGTATAACAACAGAGCCAAGAGATTTGTTTCTCTGCAACCTCGCCCCACTTTGGAGGCTGAAGGGGGAGGGGCATCAAATTCCCCACAGATTGATGGGAGGGGGGAACCTTGTGGATTTGTGCTTTTTATCAGATAGGCAGAATGCTCTAATCCCAAACTCTCTAGCCCAGGCACCCCCAAACTCGACCCTCCAGCTGTTTTGGGACTACTATTCCTATCATCCCTGACCACTGGTCCTGTTAGCAAGGGATGATGGGAGTTGTAGTCCCAAAACAGCTGGAGGGCCAAGTTTAGGGATGCCTGCTCTAGCCCTACGACTGGCTCTGCCACGATAAATCCATTTGTTTCTAAGGTGCTTGGTGACTCTCTTTTTCTACGTTTGCTGCGGGGGGCTTAATAATATCACTACCCTTCTGCACTCTGTGAATTAAGCAGGGGAATGGATTTGCAAGCATTTGTAACTTATGCCACATAATTTTTAGGCGGAACTCAAATTGGGAGAGAAAAGGGTAAATGCAGCCTATTCTTTCCATGTGGGTGGCACATTTCGTGGTGCATGCAAGTTTAATGGTGGGCCATAACATTAAAGGCAGACACGTGGGGGACCTGTCTGGCCTAAGTGGGGAAAGGAACCATCAAATTCGCTCATAAAACCTCTCTGGCATGGGAGCACATGAATTCCAGAGCCATGGGCACATGGGGCACATGAATGCTTCACAGTCTGTTGCTTTTCTGCAGAATTCACATTTGGAAATATGCCCAGTCGACTGCAAAGAGCACATACCTGCTTGTTTCCAAAGGAGTGCTAAAATAAATTAACAAGTCCTCAAAGAGGCAGGCCTGTTCCAGTCCCCACCTCAGATAGTCTCAAAGGTCGAGGAAGCCAGTGCAAATTTATCAGCAATTTCAGCAGACGTTGTGTCTAAAGAGTGCAGCAGCTACCTTTGGGCTGACCAAAATTCTGGCACCTTGGCTGAGTGTCCTGGAGCATGCACAGAAATCCTTGATCTCCAAGTGGGATGTAGCATTTCAAAGACTGCAGGGCAAATGTGCTCCTGAGCATATGCAGAATCCTTTTCCTCTGGTGAGGTGTGGGGAACCTTTAGCCCCCCCAGCTCTTGCTAGACTGCAACTCCTGTCAACTCCAGCAAGCAGGAGTTCAGCAACATCTGGAGGGCCAGAGGTTCCCCACACCTGAGCCAGAGACTGTGCAGGTATCTGTGGGTTCTGGAGTCCCAGAATTCGCCTTAGGTATATTTTTTCATGGATGTTAGTGACTTCATCTGCCTGATGCTGCATAGGAGGTGACCTAGGATGAGATGGCTGGCAGGTACTCATGCTATGGCCAGGCTGACTTGCTTGCACAGTAAACGGGAGACAAGAACTCAGTGTGTAATCTTATCACAGTGAAGAACGGTAGCAACTTCCCCAAATCTCTTGCTAAGCAGCAATACTCTGTATTGCTGGGTCTGCTTCTGGCAAATGTAACATTGAATCACAATGGTACAAAATAACTCAGCAAGCAGACATTTATAAAGAGTTAAACAAAGGTTAGTGTACTAAATATTATTTCCAATTCTAGGTAGTTTGCTATTGGAGAAATACCATATATGATGATGATGATGATAATAATAATAATAAAAAATTTTATTTATATCCCGCCCTCCCCAGCCGAAGCCGGGCTCAGGGCGGCTAACAACACTAAAATAGTGCAACATTATAAAAACATTATAAAAAGTAATTAAAATCAAAATTGATGGCAACCATAAACTAAAGTCAGGCTGCGCCCTGACCAAAGGCCTGGTGGAACAGCTCTGTCTTGCAGGCCCTGCGGAAAGATGTCAAGTCCTGCAGGGCCCTTGTCTCTTGTGACAGAGCGTTCCACCAGATTGGAGCTGCAGCCGAAAAAGCCCTGGCTCTAGTTGAGGCCAGCCTAACCTCTCTGTGGCCTGGGACCTTCAAGATGTTTTTATTTGAAGACCGTAAGTTCCTCTGTGGGGCATACCAGGAGAGGCGGTCCCGTAGGTACGGGCTTTAGATTATAAAAATCTAAAGCAAAAATTATTTTAAAATATGATTTCATTTCTAGATCAGACAGACAAGATTTCTTCTACTATGTATTTCTTTCTTTATCATACACACACAAAGCTTCTATTTACAGTAGCAATTACAGTAGCAAAATGGAGGCGACAAAAGTTACAAAAGTACAAAATGTAAGTTTAAAAATGGTGCCTGAGCTCAGACACGCACATGTGGTCAGCTTGCAAGCTGGATGAGGAAAGACTGCCCAGGTAAGCAGGAAGTCGGTAGCATTCCAGCTTCCTGCCCAGGCAGACAAAAGAAGTGATCTCACAGAGTTCCCTCTAGCACATTCTACAAGAAAGCTCTATGGGTCTTGGTCTCTTCACATGCCCATCTGCCCAAGGAGGAATTTTTGGTTTGACTGCAGTGATGTCCTACAGTTCCCCTGACTTACCAGTTTGCCACACAGTGGATTGGTAATACTCTGTTAAATGAGGGGCTCATGAGCCCATTGTCACAGACAGATCACTGAGGTTCAGACTTAACACAGCTACTTTATGCTGTAGGAATGGAGGACCTAGTTGGCTGAGGTGGCCCGTAATATTGAAAGCGATTGCTTACCTCTAACAATGGTACTAATAGGCCCAGTATTTAACCATTCTTCCCCCAAGACTCAATTTATCTCTAATGGAAACTTAGGTGTGACTGCAGGCAATAGAACTAAGTGATTTTGCTCCTGCCTCCAGGGCTATTTCCAAAAAGTTGTGGGAAGGCACTGTTTTCAGCACCATGGGAGATTTCCTGCCTTGACCCTCATGGTTCCATCTTGTCTCCCAAGCTATTTAAAAGCAATTATGAAGTGGCTGAGAGCTGTCATCAGCAGTTTGCGAATGGAGTAGCCTTTGACACCAGATACATGTGTTTTCAGGACCCATCCTATTCCCGTGACTATTTTGTTTCAATTGTTTTTAATTCTGAATTTTAAATTTAAATTAGCACAGGTCCCAAGAAATCTAGACACGCATGGACAGGAAGGATTGGGATGAAGGATATATCAGTTTAATTATTTTTTATATACCCTGTTCTCTTGAAAATCAATGCAAAAATATGTTTTTTTCTTATTAAAAAAACCCCAACAACCACTGCTAACAGATAACAGAACTGCCCAGTTCAGTATGACTAAAGAGGCTGCTAATTTGTTATCTGTGCCTTCCAAGGTTGGTGGTAAAGCAGTTGGCACCAGTAGCTCTCCAAAGGGACTTTAGCATGTTGTGTTTTCCGCAAGTGAATTTGCAAGGATTAAAGGTTATTCTTTTCCTGATTGCAGTCAATTGAATCCCTTTTTTGCATTTGTTGTTAGAAACAGGAGCTTCTAGAAACAGGAATGTAAATCTTCCATTTATTCATAGGATTTGTAGCCTATTTTAGACCTCGGCCTTCCAGAATGGCTTACTTAAAATTAGGTTTAAAATACTAATAAAATAACAATAATCATACAAATAAATGAAACTACCAGATAAAAACTGGAGTGGCAGAAAAGCCAGTCATTGATAGATAACTAAATCTGAACAGCATGAGAAAATAAAAAGGTCTTCACTGGATGTCTGTGTCAAGCAAGCCTTCGAGTGCAAGGATGCTCCAGAGTTGGCGTGCAACCACCAAAAAGTTCCTGTCTGCATTTAGCACCTGCCTTATCTCTAATGATGGAGGGACCCTCAGAATGGCTCCTGAGGCAGACCTTAATATCCAGGTGAGTTCTTGTGAGAGAAGGTGGTCCTTAAGGCATTGTGATCTCAAGCCATGTAGGCTGGAATCCTATACACACCAGGAAGTAAGGTTTACATGTGAGCAGAAACCAGTGAGCAGAAACCAGGTCTGCTTGTACTTTAAAAGTTGAGACCAGCATGCCATGAACAGGTATCTTTTAAGAGCAGGTTGCACATCCCTCTGACTCCAGTAGGCAGGGCTTTGCGTATCAGACTTGTCCACACAATGTGTTAGGAAGAAGCCTCTTCCCATTTCAGTTCTGGCTTGCTCTAAAGAACAGGAGTTCTGACCAAATTTCCTTTCCCATGTCTCCTGGAAGAGTCTGACATGGCAAGAATAGAGTACTGTCTTCTCCCAATTGACCAGCACATCAAATGACACTGTACTGTTCTTTTGCAAATAAACTGACATCGGAGGACCACTGCTTCCCCATCTCTGTGCTAGATAAAGGGATCCTAGTTCAGAGAAGCATTTGGTCAGATGGTGCTCTCGTCCATCTGGAGGAACCTGCCTTGCTGTTTCCCAGAAAACGATACTTATCAGCAGGAAGTAATGAGGCTGAAAATAAACAATCTCTACGTGAGTGAAGAGGAGCAGGACTTTGCTGTGATAGGAGATCTGCCTCCAGTTCTTTGGACTGTTCTGTTAATTGATAACTTTCCATTGCCTAGCCTGAGGCATGAGTGGATCTGACCAAGAAGGAATTCCCTACGTCTCATGAGGAGCAGGACAGAGTTCGATATTGCTGTGAGTTATTTGCCAGCCACTCAGGATGAGATCACTAGGGTGGGCAGCATTTATTTTGAGGGAAGAGAGCATTTAATTTGGGAGAAGTCGAACAGTTGAGCGTTGGGGAGGGGGCATTTCTATACCTGGTCCAGGAGACCAGAGAGAGAAAAACAATGGCCATCTCTGGTGCATTCGTATCATTTGCTTTCAAAGCATTTCTGTGCGAAGAAAAGAACATGCAGCCCTGTGTGTGCATTGTCAAGGTGGAGAATCTCTTTTATTTGAGGGTGATGTTTTGACTTTTTCAAGGGCCCCAACAGACTGCACCTTTTACTTACCACGTTGAAAGAGGATCAAGCAAATTCATGGAGGAGCGACTAGCTACAATGGCTATAATCTACCTCCATAGGCAAAGGCAACAATGCTTCTGAATACCAGTGGCTGGAATCCACAGGAGAGGAGAGTGGGCTTGTCCTCAGGTTCTGCTTTGTGGGCTTCCGATAGGTATCTGGTTGGCCACTGTGAGAACAGGATGCTGGACTAGATTGGCCTGATCCAGCAGGACTCTTTATGTTGTTATGTTCCTACTCCTGGGCAGCGCAAGATATCGGCTTATGGTTTTATTAGTGGGCCAATTCTTTTTCCAGCTTGGACCTTTTGCAGCCCATTCATGTCTGCACTCTGATTTATAATGAGTACAAGACCAGACAGAAGGATTGGTGTGATCCTAAGACAGGAGGGTACCGAGGGCTCCTTTGCTTCCAGACTGACTATGCACTGTCTTTGCCAGCAGTTCAACTTCAGGTAGCTGCAGAGTGCCAGAGAGATGGGAGAAGTCAGGATTTCACTTGGAGCTGGCGACAGAGGTTTGGAGAATCCAGCGTTAGAGCTCACGGTAACACCGCCACTGCTTGTTAGCTCTGCCCTTTGCATTTTCTCAAAAGAGAACCATGTTGTTGTTGTCATTGTTTATTAATTTATATAGCGCTTAATGATAAAATAGGCTTCTAAGCAGTAGAAAAACTGTACAGTACCTTTGTATGCCTAGACAGAGAGAGCAAAGGCCACCTCTGGTGCATTAATATCAACTGCTGCTTTAAAAGCATTTATGAACAGGAAATATTTCCCTGTGCCCTTTGGCAGGAAGCAGACAGAAATCCGCAGGTGGCAGAGAACCCTTGGCCTTCTGAGATCAAGGAGGGCAATGATGCGCATGATACTTCTTTCCAGAGGTATGGAAAATATATCCTTTATTGACTCATTCTGCATACATAAACAGTTGTTAGACACTTTTATTTGCATTGTGCAAATAAAAATAAAGCCACAATAAAGCTTAAAAATCCAGCCCAGCTTAACCCCCAATTTTAGAACTGATCACAATAAAAGACCATATAAATCATAGGATTTGAGAACAACCAGCAAATGCAGGATACTTTAAGGTTTGGACAGGTACTTACAGGAGGAGGTATCCCTTCTAGACTCCCCCAGCAGCCTCAGAATTGGAGGGAAGGTGGTTATCCAAAGTCATACTGCTGCATTTCTGGTCCCCACAGCAATGACTTGAAGGGGCATCAGGTAAGCACCCTCATCTGCCACTCCCCCTCACCTTTTAACAAGAATGAAGGGAGCCACACAGCTGCAGAAGCTCCTCCAGCCTCTTGCAGGACACCTGGGACTGCTGGAGCTACAAATGGCAGCCCCATTCCCCCTCTTTCAGACATGCCACCCAGGCTTATTCTCTTGGTGTGATTCTCTTCAGGATCAAGAATGCAGCAGCTGAGCCTTTCTCTAAAGCAAAGTGCTTTTGCAAGGCTCATGCCAAGATACTACGGAAGATCTTCTTGGGCATCCTGTGTGCAGGTGAGGCCTATTATTCATACACACACCTTGACACCTTTGTGGCACTGGAAGGAGTGGGGTGACACACCTAATAATTTGGGTTTTCTTTCCTTTTGGTAAACCTCTAGGCCACATGAGCCGATCATATATGACCCCTCTAAAAGTCTCCACACCAATTGTGGATGGTGACATTGGGGCAGAGCACTCTGCTGAATAGTGTTTGGGAGGGGGAGAAGTGAGATGATCTAACAGCTTTCCCCCCATGGAATTGTAAGGATTGTCTAGTCCAACCCCCTGCAGTACAGGAACCTCAGCATTCTGAGCAATTTCAGCTCGTGTCATGCTGAATGCAACGTGATTGTTAAGTTCAAGCCGGTATACGAAGGAAGACAGGAAGGTGTAGGAAGTAAGCCCATTGCTTTCTTCACCAATATGAAAACAATGTTCCCTGGGGAAGACCAAAATTCTCCCGGTGTTTCAGGAGGAGCTTTAAAAAAAATCCAAATAAATTTTGGCTCAGATGGAACATTGGGAGGGATCTTTGATTGAGAGTGAAGTGATGAGCACTTGTAGGATATAGCTCCCCTACAGAGCCCTCTAGAAGCAGTTGTGTCTGGTGCCCATTGGGACTGGTAGGGCAGAAGACAGGGAGCCTAACAGTAGGTGGTGCCAGAGGCAATTACCACAAGACTTAATTCTGCATTTGTAACCATCTGCTAGGGACGCGGGTGGTGCTGTGGTCTAAACCACAGAGCCTAGGGTTTGATGATCGGAAGGTTGGCAGTTTGAATTCCTGCAACGGGGAGAGGTCCCAGCTCCTGCCCACCTAGCAGTTTGAAGACACATCAAGTGCAAGTAGATAAATAGGTACCGCTCCGGCGGGAAGGTAAACAGTGTTTCCGTGTGCTGCTCTGGTTCACCAGAAGCGGCTTAGTCATGCTGGCCACATGACCCGGAAGCTGTATGCCAGCTCCCTCAGCCTATAGAGTGAGATGAGCACCACAACCCCAGAGTCGTCTGCGACTGGACCTAATGGTCAGGGGTACCTTTACCTTTTTACCTTCCTGCTGAGTCCTACAAGTGCAACATTGAGACTAGGAAGCTGGTTGTTAAGTAGGGAGGCAGGGGTTGGCAAAGGGCAGGCTGAGATTGATGGAGCCGTGCCCCCTTTGTCCTAATGGACCAAATTCCAATATCCAGAATTGCCCACAGCTGTTTGCTATTGAATGTGGCCGAATAAGGTGGGACGACTTGCTAGATTTCAACATGGCCTGGAGAGAATAATATCTTGATAACTACAGGGAGAAAGCGGAGCCCAGCCGTGCACTGTTGGCAAAGGACTTGACCCACAGGTGCATTTCCTGACCTTTGCATCTCTTCTCTCTAGGCTATGTGGCCTACTTCATTGCAGCCTGTTGGCTGGACTTTGACCGAGCCTTGGCGTTGGTCGTTTTGACTGCCCTGGTGGTTTGTTTCATGATCTATAGCATGGTCAAGAAATTCTGGGGTTCCAAGATTTTCCAGATGTTCAGCCCTTTCCGAAAATGCTGCCGGAGCATCTGGCCATGGCTGAAATGGTGAGTTCGGGGCTTGCTGCACAGATCTGAATAGGAGCGATTTAATCATTTAATGATTAAATAAATTAAAATTTAAAAAAATAGGAGCGATCTCCGCCCTCGTATCCATCCATTGTGAAGACTGCAAGGGAACCTTTTGCAAGTATGCTCAGGATGGTGCAGTTCTCGACTCTCTTAATCTGGCAGCAAACCCCACTGAACAAAATGGGACTTACCTCAAAGTAAACCTGTATAGAGTTGCACTCTGTAAATGTATCTTACTGTAGATGGACAGCTCTGCAGTGATTTATTCCACACTGAAAATTAACATTTTCCTTAAAACTACAGCTAATTTTTTCAGTCTTAAATACAGTTTTCCACATTTTGCAGCATTTCTTTATTTCTTTCTTTTGGTGGGAGGTCAACACTCATGAACGAGGGACGCGGGTGGTGCTGTGGGTTAAACCACAGAGCATAGGACTTGCTGATCAGAAGGTCGGCGGTTCGAATCCCCGCAACGGGGTGAGCTCTCGTTGCTTGGTCCCTGCTCCTGCCAACCTAGCAGTTTGAAAGCACGTCAAAGTGCAAGTAGATAAATAGGTACCGCTCCAGCGGGAAGGTAAATGGCGTTTCCGTGTGCTGCTCTGGTTCGCCAGAAGCGGCTTAGTCATGCTGGCCACATGACCCGGAAGCTGTCTGCGGACAAATGCCAACTCCCTCGGCCCATAGAGCGAGATGAGCGCCGCAACCCCAGAGTCAGTCACGACTGGGCCTAATGGTCAGGGGTACCTTTACCTTTACCTTTAAACACTCATGAAAATTAATCAGCATTTTAGTGCAAATATCTTGTAATGAACACATTTGTATGGGCAATTCTGACTAATGTACACATTTTTGCAAGCAATTTTGTCCAATATAATGCATTTTTGTATGTTATTTTTTGCAAATACCTTCATTTTTATGCATGCCTCCCCCTAAAATATATATTTCTGTGAACACCATTTGTTTGGAGAACTGCATCGCAAAATTCCAGTAAGAGCAAATTTCAAAGGATGATTGCATTTTGGTTCATAGATTGTTTGGGAAAGCACAAATTTGAAAGATTCAGCATCAATTGCTTACTGAATCAAATCTGTTTCCCGTCCCTAAATGCAATGTTATACAATAAAATGGCAAAAACAAAAACCCCAATAGAAATGGTAGAGAACTTCATTGGTTGAAGAACTTGGTGTTCTGTTGGCAAGCAATGTGCCAGAAGAAAGAGCTCAAAAGACAACAGTTCAGTTCTATAACCCTTCAATCCAGCAGGCCACATGCTTGCTAGAATAAAACTATCTTAGCTAGGCAGTGGAAGGGGGTGAGGTGGGGGATGAATCCCATAATCATGCATGGACACGGTCTTGCATCCCAACCATCAGGATCCCATCAGAACAGCCTCCCCAACAAATCTCATTTATTTAGCAAAGCCTCTCTGGGTGTATCTCTGCAGTGATGGTGATCTGCTTCCCTCCTAGGGTGCTGTGTGCAATCATTTTGATCGGCCTGGTAGTGTGGCTGGTTCTTGACATGTCCCAGAGGCGAGAGCAGTTGGTGTCCCTGGGTGGCTTCGCTGCGCTGGTGCTGGTGCTCTTTGTCTGCTCCAAACACCACGGAGCCGTAAGTAGCTGCATTCTCTTTGGCCTGGGGTCCTTAGATGATGTGATACACCTGCAACCCACACTTTTCCGCAGATGATTTGATACATCTGCAACCCACAATTTCCTGCCACCTTCCCAGTCTATAAAACCCGCAATCCTATGTATCTATCCCTTGGAGTAATCTTCTCGGAGTTCAGTGGGGCTTAACTTGAGAATTAGCAGTCATAGAATTGGGCTGAGGTTATGCTAGAGCTCAGGCGCCAGATTTTAAATAAAACCTGCAAAGTGGTTGGGCAAGATAGAACTTCGTAACGATAAAACAGTTACGGTGGGGTGGGTGGGTTGTAGGCCTTGCTTGATGCCAGAAGTCCAGAACTGGAGCATTCCAATAAATGGCAGTCCAGCATCTGTTTCTGAAGACATGCAATGAAGGACAGTTTATTTATGCCCTACTTTTCCAGGCAGTCTATGAGGCATGCCTTTCCCCATTTTAATTCACGTGAGTTGGGACTGCCTGAGAGGTCATTCAGCAAGCTTTATGGCTGAGTCAGAGCCTGGACATAGACCTCCCCAGTGTTAGCCTGACGCTCTAACCACTAGGCCACACTGGGTTACTCCATCTGCTCTGCTTTTTCCCTTTGGGGGCAACAGCTGACAAGTTCAAATGGCTCCCATTCAGTTGAGTTGCTCACTTAAGACCCTCTCTCATGGAATCCAATTGAAATATGTAGAACTTGAGCTGATTTTTTGGACTTTGCATAGCAACCACCCTATTCATGCTGGGGATCATTGGTGCCTCCTACTCCAGCGAATTCGAGAAATCAGTGTGCTTTGTTAACCCTGAGGTTAGTACTTCTCCAACCTGGGGCTAACATTGATTCTCACTGACACGTCCCTTGGTTTCTGTATTCACAAGATTCCCTCTTGTGCTGTGTTGCAGGTGTCGTGGAGAGCTGTGTTCTGGGGGCTTGGCCTGCAGGTTATCCTTGGAGTGTTCATCATCCGGACAGAACCTGGATTTCAGGCCTTCCAGTGGCTGGGTACTCAGATTCAGGTGCAGAGCAGTGTTGTTGGAAGTGACTATATCTGAGTGCGTTCTTTGCACTCACCAGCTCCCACATTCAGCCCCAATTGCAGATCCAGTAGCATCCTCTACCCAAGATCTTGGAGAGCAGCTGCTAGATGGAATAAACAGGACTGGGTTGGTTCAAGTTCAACCAATGTTCAGACTTCAGTATTAGGTAGAGGTAGCCAATGTAGAGCCCCGTGAATATTGTTAGACTCTAAACTCCCATCCAGCTGAGCCAGCAAGGCCAATTGTCATGAACGATGGGACTTGCAGCCCAAGAACATCTAGAGGGCACCACATTGGCTACCCCTGGTGCAAGGCAGCTTCATGTCCAAACATCCTAACTTAGGGGGATGAGAGCGGCCCTTCCTGAGACAGGTGGGAGTGGCAGGTGTCTTGAAAATGTGAAATAAAGACCCTGGCAAATGGAAGAGGCAATGCAGGGTGTTCACAGTATATAATAATGCATTCCATTAGGGGTGCATCAAGCTGTTCCAACCAGTGGCGTAGCGTGGGTTGTCAGCACCCGGGGCAAGGCAAGTAATTTGCGCCCCCTAACCCGTGGATTTTAGCACTGATTTTAGCACTGCGAGTGCGAGCGCGCCCCCCCATATGTTGCGCCCAGTGCGGCCGGCCCCCCTGCACCCCCCACGCTACGCCACTGGCTCCAACACCACCCTGGTCCACAGACAGTGAGCTAGCATAGCAGTTTGATTTCCCTCAATGGGGTTGAACAGAACTGATTCAGATGGCAGGGAGCCACCTAACTTTGGTGGTAGCAGCAGTGGCAGTGCAATGTCAATACAGCTCTCCTTCACTTAATACCACCACCTGTGAAGGGACTTCCTCTTCCCTTTCTCCCACCACTGTCACCATAGATGGCCAAAGTAGCCAGAGGTCTTGCTCTCTGACTGTTGCCATCTTTCCTTGCTCCCAGCATGCCAGTTAGCCATAGTGTTATATGCAGAAGGCCCCCAACATCTCCAGGTACGACCGGGGAAGATCCAGTCTGAAACCCTGGATATCTGTTGCCAACCCTCAACTAGATAATCTAATATAAGGCAGCTTCCTAATGGTGGCGGCAAGGGCTCTTTATGGGGGAAGTGGTGGGCTCATTAAAAAAAAGAGAGTCTCTGATCAGCAGTGGGGAAAAGCTATCTATTGTGTGGTGACCAGGGTCATGAGCCCTGAATAAGACTTGCACGAGTAGCACCTCTGGCTTCACAACAATGCTTGAACTGTCCACTGTAACATCATATGTACATTTCAGGAAAGATGTTCCAAAATAAGCACAGGTCTCCACCTTATCCAATGCAACTGAGTAAAGTCCTGTGCATACTCATTCTCCCCAATGTTCTCTCTGTTCCCTTATAGACATTCCTGAACTACACCACAGCTGGTTCCAGCTTTGTCTTTGGAGACAAGTTGATCCAAGAGGCGTTTGCCTTTCAGGTTAGCTTAAGCGGCATGTTTGACTCTAATTTCTCTCTCTCTCTCTCTCTCTCTCTCTCTCTCTCTCTCTCTATCTCTGGCCTCATCCTTCTCCCAGTCATCTTTGCTATTGAGTCCTTGACACAAGAAGCTGGCATTTCATTGTGTGGTTGGATTAGGATAAGACCTGTCTGAGCTGTGGGCTACAGTCTGGGCAACAGGCCTAGTGTCATTATGTAGCATAGTGGGACAAAAAATGCCAGGGTCCATGGAGCCCATCTGTGGTTGACATCAGCATTCTTAATTTTTATTTCTTTTAAGAGCCAGGTCCTTTGGAAAATTCATGCCAGGCCAGGTAGTTTTAGCTGCCACCATCTTCCCTGTCTCCAATGCTTCTGGGTTCTGTTCTGATGTGTACTGCGTATGTTGGAGACATTGGGGAAAGTGAAGAGGGCAGCTAAAGCAGCTTCACCGAGTGCTTCTCTTTTCAGCGCCAGGATGAGGAAATCCTGGGAGATGAGAGCTGCTGTGCTTTCCCCACCAACACCTGTCCCTGCTGCTTTCTGCCTCCTCTTCCCCCAATAAGCTTAGAGGTGGCAGACACAAGAGCATCACTTAGGAGGGCACCTTGCCCATAACCTCCACAAAGCAGCTGCTGTCTTCCTGGAATTTGCACTCACAAATGCTCCCAAACCAGCCAAGTGGTGAGTTTCTGGCCATTGTGTTAACTCCACAGATGTCCAGCCATGTTAAGTCTACTTCGCTTTGCCAGTGTGGGCCATTGGACTAGCTCACTGTGTCCAGGATTTCTATAACATTCTGCACCTTACAAGCTGTTCAGACCTTCTGTGCTCAATCAACCCCTATATATGCTGTGTTGTAGGTTGTCTAGAACTCCCTAAAGCCTGACGTTCACTGTTTGCTTTCTGCCCCCAGTCATTGCCCATCATTGTCTTCTTCAGCTGTGTGATGTCCATTCTCTACTACCTGGGAGTCATGCAGTTCATAATCCTGAAGGTAATGCTGAGCACAAGGCTCTGGGCAGTGGAGAGATGCTTTTGAGCCCCCACTGTGTAGCTGAGGAGGGTCAACCATTTCTCTCTACCATGCAACTTATTCTAAAAGATCATGAAAGATCTCTGGGCTCCAGAGAAAAACTCCCAAGATAAGTGTGTGTGAAGATTTTGGACGATGTGGAAAACCTAGGTAAGGCACTGCTGCCTGCTAGTGGGGAAGGAGGTCATGCCACAAGGATGGAGAAGCAGTTGCTCTTGCAGGAAAGATGAGGCAACCAACATGGCTGTGGTAGAGAGAAGGGGGCAGGAAGAGTGGTTGCTGTCACAAAGGGGAGGGTTTGTTGATGGAAAGTCAGTACTAGGACATGTGTGATGGAGGGGATGAGAAGCAGGGACCAACTATGCTATCTGCAGAAAAGGAAGGAATACATGAAGCCTTCTTATACTGAGTCAAATCCTTGGTCTACATAGCTCCATCTTGTCTACTGGCAGCAGCTCTCCGACATTTCAAGAGAGGGGTCTTTTGGCCCTATCTGGAGACACCAAAGGCTGAACCCAATAAGTTCTGCATTCGCTCATTGCTAAGCTTCATAGCTAAGGAATGGGTATGGGGAATGGCTGTGCTTGCAAGGTGAGCTAAACAAGAGCAAGAGGAAAATTCATAGCTACTGAAGATCTTTGTTGTCAAGTCTTGGGGCTCAGGTGGCCTCAGTGGCACAGAGTGCCTTCCATCAGCTTTGGCTGGTGACCCAGCTACCCCTTATCTGGACAGGGATAGCCTAACTACCGTTGTCTATGCTCTGGTAACCTCAAGGTTCGATTACTGCAATGCATTATATGTAGGGTGTCCTCTGAAGACGGTTCGGAAACTTCAGTTAGTGCAGAATTCAGCAGCCGGGTTTCTCACTGGGGCAAGACTTTGAGCATGTTACACCGATCCTGGTCCGACTGCACTGGCTACCAATTAGTTTCTGGGCCCCATTCAAAGTGCTGGTTTTAATCTATAAAGCCTTAAACGGCTCAGGACTCAAAGCAATACCTCAAAGACCGCCTCTTTCCATATGAACCTACCCAGACCCTGAGATCAACTTCTGAGGCCCTTCTTCATGTGCCTCCTCCATGAGAGGTCCAGAGGATGGCAACACGAGAACAGGGCCTTCTCTGCAGTGGCTCCCCTTTTGGGGAATGCTCTCCCCAGAGAGGTTCAGCTGGAGCCTTCATTAGACACCTTTAGGAGCCAGGCAAAAATGTTCTGCTTTAACTAGACTGATTGACATCCAATGCCCTTTTAAAATGTGTTGGGGACGTGGTGGGTTATGGGGTTGTTCTTGTTTTGATTATGTATTCTGTATTTTTCTATCGTGATTTTATCCTGTGAACGGCCCTGAGACCTGCGGGTGTAGGGCAGCATACAAATTTAATAAATGACAATTATTATTAATAATAATACTAAGTCTTGCAGGCTGTGTGACAGGGCAGTAATGCCCTCTGACCATCTCCTACTCCTTCCTGCAGTTGTCCTGGCTCCTGCAGATCACCATGGGCACAGCAGCCACAGAATCTCTGAGTGTGGTGGGGAACGTGTTTGTGGGAATGGTAAGAAGGGTTTCTCTTGATTTTACCCCTGCCCCAGGCAAACCTTCATTATACACCTTTAGGGACCAGGGAAAAAAACATTCCTCTCCAACCAGGCTGATTAATGTCCTACACCCTTTTAAATGTGTTTGTGGGAGGGGATAGTGGGCAGGGGTCATTGGTTAGTGTGTCTGTTGTTCTTCTTATGCATTTTGTGTTTTCATCTTGTATTTTTATGTTGTGAATTTCCCTGAGATCAACTGATGAAAGGCACTATATACCATCATCTCAAAATGCCCAAATTTGAGCACAATCAGATCAGGAGCATTTTACTTCAAGACTGTGATTTGTTCTGTTTTGTTCCATTTGCTCTGGAAGCAAAAATATCTCTAAATTCACTACTTCTGGGAGTGCTGTCTCTAGGGCTGCAAACTAGGGGGCAAAAACTCTGCAACATGTGCCTCTCCCCTTTTTCCCCCTTCTGCTCCCCAGACAGAAGCGCCACTGCTCATCCGTCCCTACCTGCTGGACATGACGCGGTCAGAGGTTCATGCTGTGATGACTGGCGGCTTTGCCACCATTGCCGGCAGTGTGATGGGAGCTTACATTTCATTTGGGGTGAGTCAGCAATGCAGAGAGCTACCCAAGGTCCTGGTTGTAGAAGGCAAGTTTCCATTTTACCATAAGTGCCCTTTCTGGAGGGCACAGTACTTGAGAGAGTAATGGCTGGACAACTCCAAGGGCTCTTGCATTTAGCTTATTGGTCTGGAATCCGTATAAATATGGTTTCACGCTGAGGTTCACAACAGAAACTTCCACCACCAAACAGGCCCTGTCTCTCATTGTCCATCACATGTCAAAGAGCAAAGTGGCTTGCTGGATTTAATATGTAACATTTTTTAGTTCTTTGGGGACACCAAATATGCCTGCCATCCCATCATTCTACCGTATTGTGGTGCTACTGAGATATGCATCCAAGATCACAATCCTGCATTTACATCCTGCTACAGATTGATGCCTCATCCTTGATTGCTGCTTCAGTAATGGCAGCACCTTGTGCTTTGGCTATGGCTAAGCTCGTCTACCCAGAAGTGGAAGAATCTAAGTTCCAGAGCCAGGAGGGCGTGAAAATTGCCTGTGGGTGAGTGTAGTCAGAGCACATGAGGATCATGAGGCTGCCCAAAGGATCCTGGAAGGGTGCAGGATTAAGTGGGAAGAGGGGTGCAGAACTAGGGGAGTCAACATTTGAGAGACACAGGAGCATCTTTGCACAACTTCTCCATAGCAAAGAGAAACAGAGAAACCTTGGAAAAGAAGCCAACGTGAAGTAGGGAGAACTATTGCAGTATAGGACTCAGTTGATGAATCTTTGGCTCTCCAGATGTTGTTGCATTCCATCTCCTATCACTCTGAGCCAGCAATGGCCAATGAGAGCTATACTTCAACATCTGGAGGTTCTACCCACCCCAGCATGTTAGCCAGAGACTGCATGCACACCCTGCCAGTAATTATTTGGCATGAGTACTTAACTGCCCCAGTGGAATCAACAATTTAGACCATTTACTGCTATAAATAGAACGACTGGAGTTGCTCCTCATATACAAATCAAAATATGCGCAGGTCTAAGTCAAATGGGATTAATATGCGCAGGTCTAAGTCAAGTGGATTAACAGCTAAATAATGCTCAAATGTGGACAAGCCCTCAGATAGTAGGATGCAGAATTGTCTGCTGAGCTCTACGTGGTGGAGCTTTGTATGTCATTGCTGCTTTGCCAAAGGAGGCAATTTTTGGGCCTGTTTTCTTCTCACTTGGTGTATTGTTGGTGCAGGGAGGAGAAAAATGTCCTGGAAGCTGCCAGCAATGGAGCAGCCGTCTCTGTGGGGCTGGTAGCCAACATCGCGGCCAACCTGATAGCATTCTTGGCTGTACTGGAGTTCATCAATGCTGCCCTCGCTTGGCTGGGAGGCATGGTCAATCTGCCAGAACTCTCCTTCCAGGTACCATCCACAAGGCAGCCACCCTGTGAGTACACCAGGGTGGTCAACGGATGCTAAGAGGGAATGATATGTGTATTGTCACTTATTGGCTCTCTTGCCCTCTCACTCAATGGGTTGCCAGGGCAAGGACAGGTCAGACATCTGAACCGACTGGTGCAGAGGGCTTTCCCCTACTGCTTCCATCTGTCAGAATGCTGTCCGCGGCTCCCGGCTGGTTGCCCAGGAAAGTATAAAGACAAGGAAAAGTTTCTTGCCGTCCTTTATTTCAATCTTTACAGAGAGAGGCTATAGAACCCAGCCTTTTGGATAATGGTGTTGTCCCGAGTGAATCTCCACCCCGTCTCTCCCACTTCCTCATTTGTCTGTCTCATCATCTCCTCTATGGGTGCTGCTACGTGCCCTCTGTCTTTGAGCTCTTTGCTCTCCTACTTTTAAGGCTCGCCGGGTTCTGGGAGATGGAGGGTTTGGGATGCTTTCTAATGACGTGTCAACTGGGTCTTGTTCTGGCTCTCCCATTATTTCCCAACTTTTCCCCTCATCTGCCTCTGGGCTGTGACCTCCCTCAAACCCATTGTAAATCTATGTCTTCCTCTTCCTCCTCCATGGAAGGGTTAGGATAGGGAGGCGGCCTCCACCATTACTCTGCCCAGTCCCTTACACCATCACTCTGCCCATTTCAATTTCCTGTCCCCATTTCCCCCCATTTCACTCTCCAGGCTCCCCCTGCCCACATGAAATTAGGTTGAGGGCCACAGGTTGCCTATCCCTAATCTTGCCCTCTCCTATAATCTTAGTGTGGAGGATTTACTGTGGATTCACGACAGATGTGGGGGAGGGGGTAGCTGGGCAGGAGTAGAGATGGGAAGTGAGTTTGTGCCATGGATGATATGGGTGCCAGTGAGGATGGGTGGGGAAGGTGGCCTGGGATGGCAGATGTCATGTGGTTAACTGACCATTGATTTTATTTCTAAACCTTTCTTTTCCCTCTGGCTTCCAGTTGATCTGTTCCTATGTCCTGGTGCCTGTAGCATTCTTGTTGGGAGCAAGTTGGGAGGATGCCCCGGTGGTAGCTGAGCTTCTAGGAATCAAGATATTCTTAAATGAGTTTGTGGCTTATCAACAGCTCTCAGGCTACAAAGAGAAACGATTGAAAGGACTACCCGAGTGGGACGGGACACACAAGCAGTGGATTTCGGCAAGTGCGCCAGTCATGTGGTGGAGGGGAAATGTCAGTTCAATTGACTCATGCACCAACATCTGTTGTGTACAACTGTCCTCCAGACCCAAACACTGCAACAATACCTGACCATTGTGCAGTTGGGTTTGAGGCTAGGGACACAGCACAGCAGAAAGTGGTTGTATATTGGACTGAATGAGAAATTGGATTCAGTTCACTTTTAAAGGCAAACCTGCCCACTTCTCATTTTCCAAAGTAATACTGAAACGCAGCAAATCCTTTGAAATTTGCACTTCTCTGAATTTTGTACTCTAGTTCTCCTGTCAAGTGATGTGTGCAAAAATGCATGTACAGTACCTTGATTTTCAAACAGCTTAGTTTTTGAACGTTTGGCTCCCAAACGTCAGAAACCCAAAAGTGACTGTTCCGGTTTGCGAACTATTTTTGGAAGCTGAATGTCCAACGGAGCTTCTGCAGCTTCTGATTGGCTGCAGGAGCTTCCTGCAGTAGCCAAGAAATCACTAACTGCAGTAGCAATGTGTAGTAACAAACTGAACTAAAGACTAGGCAAATGAGAAATGGAGAAATTAAAATGAGAAAGTCACCTATTCCGGTTGCACATCAGCAACCTTGTGTGTGCAACAGCCCCATGGTTTTATAGTAATATATGCAGGAAAGCGATGAAGCCCTGGCACAGGAAACCAGCATGAAAACCCTGCACATCCCGAAGCTCATTGCTGCCTTCTGTGTTGGCAGTGGAACTCGATTACCCAAATCCAACAAGTCATTTTTCTTTTGTCCCTTGCTCGTTTTCTCTTGGGTACCCAGGAAGTTTCCCTATATCAAGTCATCCAGCCCAGTGTTGCCTGTTGTGACTGGCAGCAGCAATTCAGGGTTTCCCACCCCCTGCTACCTACTCCTTTTAAACTGAAAATGCCAGGAACTGAACCTGGCATTTCTGCCATGGAAAACAGGGGTGGGAGACCTTTTAGGCTTCATGGGCCAAATCTGACAGGTGTGTGGGGTTGCCCACACATCAATTGCCTCTAGTCGAAGACCTCAGGTAATTTGGCACTTTGAAGTCCTGAAGTTGAGACTTCAAAGCACCCCATGCCGCCCCAGCATTGGGTGTATGAGGGTGTTCCCCAAGGGAACACTAGATCCAGCAGGCTTTGACTCTACCACCTATCTGCAAATGAATACCGTTTGCCAAAGCCCACTTTCCCTTGCCAGTGCACAACAGAGAGTGCACTTAAAGGCTGTCAGTTGTGACCTGGTAGTTGCATCTCTACCTGCTCCACCCTTGATCATATATGACACCAAGCACCAGGCATGTAGGTATAGTTTGGGGGAAACAGCCTCATGGGCCAAATATGAATTCCTGGCAGGCTGGAGGCTCCCCACCCTGATGCAAAAGCATTTGCTCTGCTCCTGAGCTAGTGTCCTCCTCCAGAATCACAAGGAGCCATGCTGCTTCTCAATTCTATCGCCCAGCTCTGGTCCCAGCGGCCATTCCTCAGGTGCTCCATCATCAGGCTGTTTGGGTTCTTGGCTCCATTTACTCCACCCAGGCAACAGACTTGGAGTAGCTGAAGTCTTCTCCATTCAGCACCCCTATTCCCCCATATTTGATCTTGAGTCCAATATTTATATAGTAAAACAAACACAACATTTATTCAGGAAAGTAATGAAGTTACATAGGTTGGGTTAGGTTTGAGAGAAACTAGGAGGGCTGTTCACAAACAGTCAACAATTAAAATGCACTTTCCATTATAGCACTTAGACGGCTGCCTTAAATTTGCACACGAAATAACTTTCAACCCGTTTGAAGGAAACCAATATTCCTCATTTGCCATATATGTTTTGATTCCTTGTCCACAGTCCTCCCGTTGCGGGATGCTGTTTTGGACTCACATGCAATACAAAGGCATGGGTTTTGGTGCAAACAGCGAAGTAGGAGCCTCAGAGTGAACCTAATGCGCACCCAGCCCTTGGATTTCCATCAGAAAAATGTGCCTTCATATTTCCCGAGGAATCACAGGGCTGGCCCCTCCCTCCCAAAAAAGAAAATACATGAAGGATTCTGACAATGCATCCTGGGTAATCCATGTTTAGGAGGTAGGTAAGCTGTCCAAGTGAGGCAATGAAGGGACAGAGTTTGCTAGACTTGAAAGAAGCATGTTCTCTTGTGTACACTACTAGCCAGACTAGGGTGAGCCTTGCAGCTCCCAAACTCCTGGTGAGCAAAGCAAGATGGAAAAATACTATTTCTTGCAAAGATCTGGGCTTCTACACTCCAGCTTGCCGTGCATCTTGGTGCAGAGGCGGTCAATGTGGTGCCCTACAGATGTTGGACTACAGCTCCCATCATCCCTCACCACTGGCCACACTGGCTGGGGCTGATGAGTTGGGAGTCCAACAAGGTCTAGACGGCACCCCTGATCTGTTGATCCAGAACTCAGAAACAAGGAGCAACCCCTCAACTAGCTAGCACTGAGTTACTGTATGCTCTTGATTGCATTGGGATGCTGATGCTGCTTCCCACAGAGCATCCCTGCAACAGGGCAAAGAGAGAGGCCAGTATTCAGTATGGCAGGAGTGATTGGCATGGGGCCACTTGTGCTGTTACAGCAGAACTGATCACATTGTCTCTCTTGTTCCCCAGGAGAGAGCTGAAATCATAACAACCTTTGCTCTTTGTGGATTTGCCAATCTGAGCTCCATTGGGATCATGCTGGGAGGCTTGAGTAAGTTGGCCATCCGGTGAGGAACATGTAAGCTCTGAGATCAGGAGGAGAAACTCTCCAGCCCATAGCTATGTCTCCAACTGCTGTGGCTTCCTGGAACTGCCTGCCCCGGCTAACACACTGGAGACACTTGGGGGGTTTCGACCTGGTGTGAACAAATCAGGAGGAAACCCCATATATAGTCACTTGATCCAGTTCATCCTGCTCATCCAGCTATTTTTTTTGTGTGTTAAGCGTCCATGGCACCTCAACGCAAGGGTGAATTTTCCAGCATCGTTCCCCGGGCTTTGTTCACTGGAGCCTGTGTGTCCCTGATCAATGCATGCCTCGCAGGTAACATATGGGTGTTTGGTGGCAGAATGGGGCCCAAGGGTTCAAGGAAAGGGAGCCTATGGCTCTCTGGGTGTTACTGAACTCCCAGCTAGCTCAACCAATGGTTAGGGATGATGGGAATTGTTCCTGCATCTGGGAGGCCACAGATCCCCATGCCAGGATTAGAGGAAAGGGTCAGTTAGCCCTTGTCACATTCAAAATCAGGAGCCATAAGGATCCTGGGAGAACAAAAAGAGGGGGAAAGGAGAAACTAACTGTTGGAACATGTAGGAAGCTGCCTTAATCTGAGTCAGACCATTGGTCCATCTAGCTCAATACTGTCTACTCTGACTGGCAGTGGCTCTCCAGGGTTTCAAGCAGGGGACATTTCCAGACCCACCAGGAGATGCTGGGGTTTAAACCTGAGATTGATTTCCGCACACAAAGCAAATAGATGCTCTGCCACTAAGCTACATCCATTCTGGAGAGAAGGGAGAGGTCAAGCTATATCCGAGGGCTAGGATTTATGATAGCCATACATGGAAAAAAGGGATGCACTCAGCCAACCCCAAAGAACCTTGCTTGTCCCATCAATATACTATGCAGACAACAATGCCATACAAAAGGCTGGTGGACAAAGTCACTCCCAAACACTGAGTACCAGCCCAAAGACATGCAGATCTCCTGGGCAAGTGCCACCAATTGTATATAACTCTCACCAACTTCCCAGCCTTCTCTCATGGACTCTGCAACCCACAACAGGTATCCTTTATGTGCCCAGAGGAGGGGTGACTGACTGCCTAGACTTCTTCAGCGAAACCAACCTAAACTCTACCAGCTACCCAGTCTATATTTGCTGCCAAGACTTGTTCACCTGGTGAGTGTATTCCTCTTACCCATTCCCCTTGCAGTGCTGATGTTTCAAAAGCCACATGGTCACCTCCAGCCAGCAGGGGAAGTGGGAGCAGTAAGTTATAGGGAAGCCAGGAGATGATCAGATGCCCATGCAAGTGTGTGCAACATCGCCTGGTTGTGCCAGCACCAACAGAAGGCATAGCCAGGCACCTGCTAAGGGCCCACAGTCAATAATAATAATAATAATAATAATAATAATAATAATAATAATTTATTATTAGGGGTTCTGCCAATCAGAGCTCCCTGGAGCTGCTATTTCTCTTCAGCACTGCAGGCCCCCTGTTTACCCACTTCTGACTCGGATCCAAGGGGAGTAATGATGCAAACAGGGAGCAGGAGCAGGAACTGCTGCCAGCTTGCTCACTAGTTCTCGGCCTAACAAGCAAGCAGGCAGTAGCAATGGCGCAGAAGAGAGCAGCTGCCTCTGGTGACAATGGTGGTCGCAGGGGAGCAGCACCACAGAGGGGGAGCCCATTGAAGGTATCTTGCCTAAGAGCCTCCCTGAAACAGGTAACTTGGCACTGCCCGGCTCTGTGCATTTCTGTGCTGGAGGCAAATATGTGGCGATGCTCTCATTCTGCGCTGTCATCTCATTTGCCACCTGGCCAGTCTTAAACCATCCTCTCGGAATGTGCTACTATTGGGACAATTTTTTTTAAAAATGCACATATATTTAAATGAATTAGATGTGCTCACATCTTTTTTGCTTCTACTTTTGGGGCAAGCCAATTATGGTAGCTGCCTATTCTTTTGGTTGGGAGTTGGGAGTGTGAAATCCAAAAGCACAGGAGATGTCCCTGGAAAAGGCAGAGAGGTAACCCTCTAGAAGCCAATTCAACGACATACCGTTGTTTGCCTTGGTCTCCCAGTCATTTCTTTGATGTGTTTAAAGGATCTTAAGAGAGCAGGTTTCCTGGAAGGAATCTGTTTCTAGACAAAGAGCTTTTAGCTGTCAAATATTTGGTACATCGCTCTCTGGTTCAGTGAAGGTTTTTGGCAGGCCTAGCTTCTGCCGAATCTCTCTCTTTACAACTTAAAAGACCTGCTGCGTCAGACCAAAGGTCCTTCTAGTCCAACATTCAACAAGGTGGCAAACTACTCTAGGAAGCCCACTGGCAGGATGCAAGGAAAAGAGCCCCCCTCCCATGTTTCCAGCAACTGGTATCCAGAGGCAGCCTGCCTCTGATATGGGAGGTAGTATACATTCATCGTGACTAGTTGCCCCCAAAAGCCTTATCCTCCATGAACCCATCTAATCCCTTTTGAACACCGATCAAGTTGCCAACCATCGTTACACCTTAAAGCTTAAAACGTGGTGGCAGCAGCTGAGTTCTGGAACGCAACAGCCCTAGAGTGCCTGAACTTCTGGATTTTACAGACAGAATCTCAGCTCAGCAATGAAGCTGGTGGAATTATGTTCAAACTCTACACAGAGCTGGTCATGTAACAGAGTGACTCTCAGCAGGAAAGTGAAGCTTTTGTCCTTATCTCTTAGAGAAGCTGGGCAGAGGGGTTTGCAGTGCTCTAAAGTGGAAGATGAGTCTGCACCAACACCATTTCTGGGAGCCCTACGGCTTCTTGCCACCCATTGACCCCCCAATGAAGTGGAGATATTTTTTGAAGAGGGAAAGCATTGACTCTTATGCCATTGCCTGCCTTGTGTACTGCTTGCTATTTTGAAGATTGAACCAATTCTTCTATTAGGGAAAAGAGAGTCTATGGCACCTTCCTGTCCGTGGACAACTCCCTGTGAGAATGGCTGCTCAGGGAAGGCGATTTGATGGTGGACTGGTGCCTGCACACAAGAGACTGAAAGCCCTTAAGAACATGCAGCGAGGCAACATGCCGAAGAAAAGCACCCACTATTAGATGTATGGGAGACAGCATGAAAGTGTAGTGCCTGGTACCAGAGCAGTGCTTCCGGGAATGCGACAGGCTCAGTCCCTTCAATGCTACGTGTGAAAGCCAAAGGAAGCCCGTTAGAGACAGGTCAAAAGTTGACCTGGAGGGAGAGACACAGACATCAGACATCAGACAGTACTGGGGACATTACGGCTGTCCTCAATCCACAAAAATAGATTGAGGTTCAAACTGTTGGGTCACAGGCAAAGAAGCATCACAGCAGCTGCAATGCAACCAGTGGGGCTTCCTGCAATTCAAACTGAATCCCAAACGTATCAAACAGAGTAGACGAACAAAGATCATGTACAATGACAACACAATGCAGCCAATGGGGAAATGCAACAGTTGTGGAAAACCAGAAAGACCTGTTGTGTAGAGTTCTGCAATGGAGGCCACGGGCATGATCCAAGGCCTAGCATCAGAATTTTCTTTCCTCTGTTCAGAAAAAAAAGAGTGCTTCTTCCATGTGCAATGGAGATTTTACAAACATACTAGGATATTGTCATTAGTGAAGCATTCCTGGATGGTGCAACCTGAGGTAGACTCAGCAGCAGCAGTAGTTTACATGCCATGAAAGACTCCTCCTGCTGCATCATATAATCCAGCAAGAGAGCAACTTGAAATGCTCCACAGCAGTGATACCTCAGCATCAGCAGAAGCCACTGCTTCCTGTGTATACACCACCTTAGTGGTAAAGAAGTGATCAGGCAAGCTGCACTGACCAACCAAGGCCTAAACTCGAACACTGGAGAAATCCAAGATCCAGTACCTACAGTAGATAAAACACTGCCAGAATTTCCTATCAAGAACTGCTGTGGCTTGAACTAGAAACCTTCCCGTCTGTGTAGAGCTAGCCCATGTGCCAAGCCACAGAACTGCATGTAGGAGCATTTGCCTAGCAATTAAGCATTTGTAGGCCCTGGACTGACTCTGCCCACACATACTGGCCACTGGACCCTCCTGGTCAGGAAGGGCTATAAAGAGCTTTCTGCTTTGGCTAGACCTTGGCCTGAGCAACAAGGCCTATCAAGCTCTGATATGTTTTTCACCTTTGGTCCTGACTTTTGGCTTGCTTTTCAATTCTGGCTTTGCTCTTCGGACCTGCCTTCTGGCTTTGCCCTTTGGCCTCCTGGATTGCTCCTTCCTGCTGGCTTTGGCCTCAGCTCCGACATCTAGATAGCCCTTTGGTTGTGATTTCTGCTTGATTCAACTCTGCCTTCCCAGATTGCATCTTGGTTTCAGCCTCATAGCTCAACTGCTAGCTCCTGGTTCCCTGTCCCTGGTTCCTCTGACTTTCAAAAGCTAGAATCTTCTATGTTCTTCTCTGCGATACAAAGAACAGATTTTGGCACACGTTACTAAATAAGGATTCCAGCACGCTTGCAATCTCTGCAACTCCATTTAGTCACTTTGGGTGGCTTCATATGCCAGTGGGGATCTGTCCAGCATTACAGAGGTCTTTCAGAGCAGACTTAGAAGGGTGGAGTGAAAATAAAAGAAGAGAATATCCACATAGTAGATGAAGGCTGTGCAGGATCATGGCAGGAAATCAAAAGCATTTCCACAACGATGCAAAGACAAAGACATTAAACAGAAGGCAGGAAAAAATGCAGGTGAGAAAGATAAAGTTAACATATGATGGACAGGTATGGAGGCTCAAAAGACCCTCACACACTTGAGGCAACCTGAGCCATGCCAGCTCCAGAAGTGCAATACATTATTGGAATGTTTTGTCGCCCAAGTTCTGTCTTCATTTGGCCACAATTGTGAAGCCAATGTGACAACTTACCAGAAGGAAGTTCAGTAGGAATGAAGAGGTCCACAATACCACACATTCATTTCAGAGAAAGAAACAATTGCTAATGCCCCAGCCTTGCAGGACTGTCAGACAGAACAACAAACAGACACTCCAATGTAATGCGTCTAAGAAAGGCCTCAGACCTTTCACTGGGCCACCTAATGGCCTTTGTGAGCACACCCTACAGGGGACTGGACAGAGTTATAACCAGACACAGAATTCCTTGCAATGAATTTTTAGAGTTTAGCAATTCCAGCAACAACCTATGGTCATGCAGTCAATGCTATCACTTTAGACAATAACAACAAAGCCACCTCCTGAGTGCTCAAAGAGATTACTGTGTAATACTATGATGTCCACACTGATGACAGGTAGTTAGCAGACATCCTTAGCAAAGCATATACAGCCAATGGCAAAAAATCTACAGAAAGGGGCAAAGACATTGAAGGGATCAGTACATTGCACTATCTCCCAATATCAGCAACCAATATCCATGAAATTGAGGAGGCTGCTGAAGAATACATCTAGGTGCACTGTTAAGGAAGCAATAGTAAAAGGATGGACTGAAGACAAGAATCAGCTACCACCAGGAGCAGAACAATATTTCCTAATCAAAGATGACTTCACTGTGGAAGAAGGAATCTTTCATTTCAAAGCAGAGAACAGTTGTTCCAGCCTTCTTGCATGAGAAAGTTGGGGAAAAACACTTGGGCAGAGTGTGTTTACTGGCCAGGAATGAACACACACCAGGAATTAATTATTGATAGCAGGATGTGACTCCTGTTGATCATGCATAAATCAACAACATAGATTCTTCCACTGCATGTGCTACCCATAAAAATCATGGGGAAATGTTGGAGTTATGTTGCTCACCTTCAGGGAGCAGGAGTTATCTGGTCACATTGGATTACTACTCCCAATTTCTGGGAGATTGAAGGCAATTCAGATGCTAGAAATAAGGCAGTCATCCGTAAACTGAAGGCTCATTTTGCAAGATTTGGTGTCCCCAACACAGTGTGTTCAGATAATGGGACTCAGTTTGCATCTGAGAACTTCAATTCCTTTGCAAAGAAATGGGAGTTCTCCAGTATACTCACAACGTAATGGCAACACAAACTGCTATGTAAACAGCTAAAGCAATTTTCTAGACAAGGCAATGTTATGAGACTCTGACTCCTTCTTAATCTTCCTGGCACAGATCCAAATGGTGTTGCCAATGACAGGAGACATTCTGCAACTAACAAGAGGAGGGTAATGCAGAAAAGAAATGGCCAGAAAACAATCAGAGGAAGCAAGCATCTCTGCACACTAGAGCAACCAAGGAGTCTCTCTCTCTCAGACTCCAGGCACTCCTAACCACTTGGCATGAATCAGAGGAAGTGCCCAAAAGAGAGGAAGCAGCATGCAGGTCCCAATTTCGCTGAATCCCTTTCTTTACAAATTGCACAATCTCAATGAGCATGTGGCCCACCTGGGCCAAGCCTGCCTCCGGAACTTGTGGATTGTGTGGATTAGGTGTCCTGTACCTTTTTCAAAAATTAAGCCAGATTCCCACCATCATTTGAAGATGTGATGGTGGGAGAACTAGGATCCTCCATCTTTTTGATAAGCTGGGAGTAAAGCAAAGGTAAAGGGACCCCTGACCGTTAAGTCCAGTCGCGGACGACTCTGGGGTTGCAGCGCTCATCTCACTTTACTGGCCAAGGGAGCCGGCGTTTGTCTGCAGACAGCTTCCAGGTCATGTGGCCAGCATGACTAAGCCGCTTCTGGCGAACCAGAGCAGTGCACGGAAACGCCATTTACCTTCCCGCTGGAGCGGTACCTATTTATCTATTTGCACTTTGACGTGCTTTCAAACTGCTAGGTTGGCAGGAGCAGGGACCGAACAACAGGAGCTCACCCCGTCGTGGGGATTTGAACCACCGACCTTCTGATTGGCAAGCCCTAGGCTCAGTGGTTTAGACCCACTGGGGGTGGGGGAATATAGTGTCCTCTGGTCAGAGGATGGTGTCTCACATGGTCAAGTTGACTACAATGTCCATTTGAACCAGTACTGGCTACACTGACAGCAGCTCTTAGGAGTCTCAGGCAGAGCAAGGTCATCTCACATATCCTGCTCCCTGGACCTTTTAGCTGAAGATGCCAGGGACTGAACCTGAGGTCTTCTGCATGCAGCGCATTGCCACTGTGCTATAGGCCCTCCGGCTTAGATCAGACTAATTCAACTGCATTGCCACCACTGGGAACTGCAAGTGTCATGGAGGCAGGGGAGCAAGTCTGCTTGCCTGCATCCGCCTAACCAAAGGTCAAGGCAGCACACTTTTAAAAAATACAATTTTAAATGTGGGAGGGCCCATGAATGCATGCTGGTGAAGCTTTTCTTCATGGCCACCTGTGCATACATTTGCAACGATGAGCTAAGCACTTCAGCGATCTGTGCATTATATTCCGTTTTGACCCCATATGCTGCTTGTGGCGTAACTGTGGCCATTTCAGTGTCCCTGGAGGTCTTTCTTGTGAAGATGAGCATGACCAGCAGATGGCACTCATTTTCCTTTGAAAAACATTTATTGCTGGCTGGTTTGGAAGATTCAGCAATCCTGTAATAGTCCAGCAACATGAGGAACACAAGTTCCCTACCTCTAATCCAAGTCTTTCTCAGCCCTACCTGCAGATGCCAGAAACTGAACGTGGGATATTTTTCATACAAAGCATGTGCTCTATCACTCAACAATGGGGCTTTCTCCAAATGACAATATATGGCCAATGGCATGAGAAAAGGAGCAGACTTTACAGCCTGTAGCCACCAGAAGTGCCACCTGGGTCACCTCCTGAGTCAATGTCACAACCAATTAAAATGTTTGCATCTGCCTGTACCTTCAGATGCATTCAAGATTTTCTTAACCATGAGGTTGAGAAAATGAAAGTTGAAAGTTTTTGGATTCTAAAAAAAATGACATGTCGGCTGCAGTCCTACCCACACTTGCCTAAAAGTAAGCCCCATTAAACTAAGTGGCATTTATTTCCAAGGAGGCATGAACAGGATTAAGCGGCACAACTACCAGAATTTGCAGTGAAGTCAGAAGCTGCACAACAGCATGACGACAATGTAGGTTACTTCCTCCAACACCATTTTTACTTCGTCATCTTTATTCCAGTAGTTCTTAATCAGAGCACCATGGTGGACTTTCCAGTTTCAGAAGATGCACATCTTCACCTGGACGTTTGATACTTGAGATGCGTATGTTTAGGACCCACTTTATTTCTGCAATTTTAATTTCTACTGGACTTTATTTTGTGCTTTAATTGTTGCCACCTGCCCTGAGAACACAGGATGAAGAGTGGGTAAATAATAATAATAATAATAATAATAATAATAATAATAATAGCTGTTATTATTATTATTATTATTCCTGAGCAATGGTGTTTCTTATTAAAGCACTTAAGCGAATGCATGTGTGCAGGAAAACCATTAGATGTGCCTCTTTGATTGGATATGAATCGATGGGCCAAGGTTGCAAAGCAGCCATGCTCTTGCCAGGTCCCTTTTATCAAAATAAATGCTCTTGATTAGTGCAGGCAGATTAGAAGGATATTTTGGTGCCAGGAGAAGCAATCTTGATCCTTTACTTTCTCATATATTTTTCTTTCTTTCATAGCACCTCAACTGCAACAAACGGTTCCCTTTCTTTCTCTGGCATTTGGGAAAGCTTGGATGTTGGGACTTCGGCAATGTATCTGCAACAGTGCTGCGCTCACTATAATGCCACAGCCTGTCCCAAGCCATAACGGCTCCGGAGCACAGCACAAAAGAGGGTCTTGCTTGGACAACAAAGATGCAATAAAGTATTTATAGGAAGTGTACTGGTCTGATTGTGTGTGTCGAATTGCAATGCAGATCTTGGCTAGCAAGGGCAAAAATATCAGCGTCAAATGTAAGAGCAATAGGGGAAGGTGTCGGCCCTTCTCTAAAGATTCATTGAAAAATCCCAGTGTATTTTCAGGTCACATTGCCCACAGTCACGTCCAATGGAAGCAAGAGGCTATTTTCTGGCATGTCCAGTGCAAGAGCTGCTGCCTGCTTCTCTGTTTTGTGATGTAAGAAAAGCTGGACAGGCAGGAAGAGTTGGCTGGCGAGACATTCACAAGATTTCCCAGCAATTTTGGACAGACTGTTCAGCCAAGAAGTATTCGCTGCTTTCAGTCAAGCAGAAAGAGGATGTCATTATTTTCATGGCTTTTTGTGCTTTGGCTTCTACGAACTAACTTGAATCTCCCCGTGACTTATAGTGTCATCCTAAGCGTCTCTTCTCAGAAGCAGGTTCCCTTGAATTCAAAAGAGCTTGCTCTCAGGTGAAATGGGTAGAGGAATTGCAGCAATCCTATGAACACTCCCCAGCAGTAAGAACCACCAAATTCAGTGGGACTAACTTCTGAGTAAACAGGCATCAGCCGCCAGTTAGACCTTTAAAAATAAACTAGCATGCCTCCCATGTTTTTGTAGGGAAGATTGATGCTCTCAGGTTTAGTTTCCATAGTTTTACAAAAAGCTTGGAAAAGGACGCACATGTGCATACCCAGAAATTCAACAGACAGCTCTCAGTTGCTTTCATGAGTGAAGTACTTTCCTGCTCTCTTTATATTCAATCAGCAATTATTGGGCCACAAACCTTGAACTTCCCATCCAGTCCATCTCTCCAGAGAATCAACTTTAAGCTGTGTCAAGGCAAGAAGTCTTACAAGGTAGTGCCTGCAAAAGAGGCCGCCTTGTAGCCAGGATTCAGCCCGTTGCTGCCAAGATCCCAGCTTCAGCAGGCACTCTGATGAGCTGCAAAACAAAATTCTATACTCTTGCTGCATGACCCAACAGGATGGAGTCTTCTCCACAGCTTGAACTAACGCTGTTCTTTTGCTTCTACAACCAACAAGCATTATTGACACTTACTTACTGCGCAAAATCCTTAGCAAAATTCTGGAAACGCACCATGCGCCGACCTGCAAAGGAAACCCTCCTTGCCAGAACCACCACCAACTCTTTTGTATCACCCTGCGGAATCTTCCTTGCCCCTAAAGTAGGTCTCAGTCTAGGCTTATTCCTAGGAAGGGTAAGGAAAGGTATCATTTAATAGCAGGAATAAAGAGACCCGCATCAGACGTCAGTGGATCAGAGTCAATGGTGAGAGGTTAGTCTGTGGCATCTATGTTCCGAATGTCTTCCTAAATGCTTTTGGTTTACTGCTCCAAGGGGTCCTCTCTGAACTGCCCCTCCACCAACATCTCACTTGTTGGATTTGGAGGAAGCTCAGAAAAAAAACAGTTGCACAGTACGAGAGGAAAAGGAGGAGAAGAAGCGCTATCGAATATTTCAACAGAAAGCGGGTTCCTTGTTAAGGAAGAGCCATTTCTATCTGACTAGGCCAGTGGTAGAAAACTAGTGACCTCCTGATGTTACTGGACTCCAACTCTCATCAGCCCCAGGCAGCAGGGGAGTTGTAGCCCAACATCTCAAGGGGCACAAGTTCCCTGCACCTAGATTAGAAGGTCACACTTCCCCCATCTTAGAACATAACAACATGGTCAGTGATCAGGGATGATGGCAGATGAAACCCAACTACATTGTCAGGAGTAGCCAGACAGCAGCACAATGACAGAGGGGGGGGTGTTGCTATTTGAGGACAGTAGCAGCTTACAGACATCTAGAATGGCATCATCCATGGGCCCCAGCACTGTGATTGGCAGCAGTTTCAAGAGGATCAGATCTGCTGAACCTGGAGACCACGGGGAAAGAACCCGGGACCTTCTGCGCGCAACCCACATGCTGCACAATGAGGCACTAATGGAAAGAAAGCAGCAAGGAGAGTCAAATCTGGGGGCTGAGAGTCTGTGGCCTTCCAAGTGTTGTCAGACTCCAATTCCCATCAGCTCCGACTGACATGGCCAGTGGTCAGAAATGAAGGGAGCTGGCTGCCTCAGACCTGATCTAAACCTCAGTGAAGCCTAAGAAACACCCCCTTCTCTCTTCTAAACACATGAAACCACTTGACATTTTTATTGCCCTAAGTGCAGGCCCAGGAAGACAAAACCATACCCTCCTCAGACACAGCCCCATCAAGAAAGCTGCTTCTTCCACCCACGGGGAAAGAAAAGAATCCATCCTCTCTTTTCCGCCATATGGGAGATCAATAGGGTGGGCAGACTGGCCAGACTGCGTGTCAAAGGGCTGGCTGTGATGATGGGCCCAGACAATCATGGGGAAAGCAGCGAGCGACGGCTCTTCTGTGGGAAAGTGCTGGTGTTGGGAGTCAAATCGGCAGGGCCCTCCCTGGAGCCAACAGAACACAGGGCCCAGCCGCCATTCCTGCCAGGGCTCCACGCCCCGAGGAGTTTAGCCCCTGCTTTGGGCTGCATCCTTATGGGACCCAGAGGAGCAGCCCATGTCCACAGGACATCTAGCGCACACAGCTGAGATGCCACAAATGCAAACAAGGGGTGCGTGGGTCCCACACAGCGCTGGTGGCATTGTGCATCCACACAGTCCGTCCTTTCCCCAATCCCTTCCCAAGCCCCCACCCCCGAGGGCGGTGTGTGGACAGGGCCCTCTCTCTGAGGCGCATCAGCGTGGCTCCCTCCCTCACACACCATAAGCCGCACACACTGGAGGGGAGGAGCCACGCAGGAGGGTACGGCAGGGCAGCAGCAGCACCCCTTCCCCCAGGCACACACAGCGCACTTCTGAAGAGGGTCCCCGCGCCTGTTCACTGCAGCCAGCTGGCCTTGCCACTGTCCCCTCCTTTGGGCCTTGCTACCGACTGCAACTCTCCCGCGTTTTCAGGGCATTTCCGGGCGCTCTTAGGGCTCACAGAACCTTTCCTGGAGGCCTGGGGGCTAGCCAGGCCTTTCTTCTGCAGCTGGGGGCTGGACTGGGCTGATGGGGTCTTCCTGCCCATTATGGGGCTCCGAGAGCCCTTGCCTTTAGGCGGAGGCTGGGGGATTTCAATGCTCTTCAGGCCCAGGAGATGGCAGAAGTGGTTACACTGGTGAGACGCCTCAAAGTGGTCGATCAGGCTGGGGGAGCAGCTCTCCTTGAGGCCTTGGTACCTGGCAATAAAGAGAGGATTACACACCAGGGCAAGCTCACTCCCTGCCCTCCCCACCCAGCTATATGGGTCGATGTGGAATGTCGAGAGAGTGCCGTGGGCATCAGCCGCAAAATGGCTGCCATGGGTTATGCGGCATAACACAAAATGCCTCACAAGAAACTGCGCAGGAAGAGCAAACACTCTCATTTACTGCAGAGGGGATATTTATTGAGACCTTTAGCAGGTATCAGGGAATTTGCCTCCAGATTAAGGAAACGATTCTTAATTCACAAATTCATATATAGTATGAGCCAAATATGCTCATTAAATGAAAATGCCCAATAATGGTCCACGTATATGGCAGTAATACTTTTGACGCTTACTGTTTGCAAAACATTGTAAACAGAAGTATTTTAGTTAAAGTATACTACAGTGGTAC